TGCGCCGTCCAGCTCATCAACCACGAGCCAACCGTCCTCCCTCCCCATCTACCCACGCAGCCCACCCTCTGCAGACCGCGTATCCCCCTATCACCTCAACATCCCATCCGGCACGAGCTTTACATCCCGCCAACAATTCGGGTCTCCAAGCGAGAGCGCACTCTCCACAGGTGCAAGTCCCCCTCGGGGTCATTTTGACCAGCAGATTTTGGAGGCGCAGTACGGTCAGCAGCAGCTTACGGCCCGGTTTATCCCAGGGCAGGGCATCCAGTACCTCCCTATGCAGAACAATGGCGCTGGGTTCGCACGCCAAGGCCCGCTCTCGCCCACTACTACCTCCCGCCCCATCCAGCCCCAACAAGGCCCGTATTACCATCAAATGCAACGGCGCCCCTCCGACGCCAGTCAAACGCAGCAAACACCCTTGAGCGATTTAGGCAAGGGTCTCCCTTTAAGCAGCGTCCCAGCCTCCTGGCCGCTCTTCATCGTCGAATTCAAAGCGGGGCGTACGGACCTCTTCTATCTCACTGATTTAAGCCAAGATATCAGGGTTGGGGATTTGGTGATCGTCGAAGCGGACAGAGGGAAGGATTTGGGCAAGGTTGTTAATGATAGTATCACGCTTAAGGAGGTGGAGGCGTTTCAGAGGGAGGTTAGGGAGAGGGAGGCAGGGGAGGCGATGAGTCCTGGGGGTGCGGCAGCGACGGGGAAGAAGGATATTAATCCGAAGATGATTTATGGGAAGGCGCAGGCTAGCGATACTCAGTACGTGTTTCCATTGCCTAGTCTTAGGGAGGATGCTGATGGGGCGACAGACATTTAGTGACCAAGATGCAAGATGAAGTTAAAGCGCTGCAATTGTGTCAGAGTAAAGTTCGGCAGAAGAAACTTCCTATGGAGGTTATCGATGCGGAGTATCAGTGGTGCGTGCCGTTTGGCGTTCATAGGACCCAAGAGGACTGACACACTGCAGGGACCGACGTAAACTCACGTTCTACTTTATCGCTGAAAAACGAATTGATTTTCGGGAGCTTGTCCGGGAGTTATTCCGGTGTGTCTTTTTTTCCCTGCTACATGCTGCGCCTATCTCTATGTCTTGCCCGCTATGCATATTTTACTCGCTCGCCTGCTAACGAATTATCTATAGGTTGTATAAAACAAGGATCTGGATGGCCTCTTTACAAGGCCCAGGAGGGTACGAGCAGTAATTGCTCCCCTCACATCTATACAAGTAACGACGGAAGAGGAACAGAAGAGCAGGACGGAATCCCAATCCCAACCACACTACGCAACCATCACGATCACATGACACCAGCCAATCTCACGAAATGTATGTATCTATGTATGATCTAGATATGCAATATCCACACTCTTCATCGCACATCTAGAACCTTTTTTTTTTGGTTCTTTCATTTGTTTCATGCTCAAGTTCAAGTTCAAGCTATTTATGGAACCATGTTCGTTCATGTTCATGTTCTGGTTTTCGCTTTTGTATCGTATTTGGTTGTGTGTACGTTAGTGTAGAGGTTTTTTCTGCCTTTTGATGGGGTTTGTTTGGAGGGGAGCAGGGGGATGGAGATGAGAAATGGCCTGACGCCTTGTATTAGTATCGTATATCAATCCAAAATATATATTGTGGTGCTTCTTTATGTGCATAGAGGCGGGAATCGTCAATGAAAATGTATACAATGCGTCCGTATGTTGATACAGGGGTAGGATATGTGGGGTCGGGACCGAGATCACTATCAGGATCCAATAAGAGCGTTCATGATTGCAATCATGATCGCACAATCAATGTTGAGCCGTTAACTTGAGGTTGATCCGCTGCTAACTCAATGGCGGACCCGCTGCTAACTTAAGAATGGACCCGCCAACATCTAACTCGCAGGCAGCTCATTCGCTTTTCGCTCAGCAGTGACTACAAATTGCAAATGTAACGCGTCAGCCAGACTTGGCGATATAGACATAAGATAAACACGCACCCCAAGCCCGTCGATCCATAGGACACTGCTGTTTCGAAGCAGCCGTTCCTAGCCATTTGAGCAAACAGTGCATGTGGAATACGTGACTGCATTCGCCCCAGACTGTCGTGACAGAGGGTTAAAATTGGTGGGTTGTCGTTACTTTACGCGAGAAAAGGTGGAAGGGGGACGTGACGAGCAGAAGAAATGCACGAGGCACGACAAACGCACAGAGGAGCGAAACGAACTCACTCAAAGGACAGTCATCTCCCGGCGTTTTACACGACGGACAGCACCCCTCATACGGGACGCGACAGATCCCACAGACGTCGCCTTCGTCATCTTGATCGTGGTTTGTGTTTCCTGTGTTCCAGCGCCATTGAGCGACTGCGCTCCAGTGTTTGATGTGGACTTTCATGGACTGGTATGAGTTTGTGTGGAGTATGCAGGAGCGTCCCAGGAGGAGGGTTTGGGGTTATTTGGTATTGTGTACGCGTCGTGGGTATGTTAATAAGTCTATTATTAAAATGTACTAGTACTCGACTCTCAACATGAACTCGAATCCCGGGGGCCGGGACCTGGTGCACTGATCTTGGAGCTAATCCTCACGCATGTTCTACATATTCCGAGCTTTAGATCCACGAGCATCTAGAGGACTTCATATGGGGGAGATCGGACAACTGGTCCTCGTCCTGTCCCTGTCTTCATGGATGTTGATTATGGTGTTCTCTGACCATGGTCAGCACTCCTGAAGGCACGGGACGCATAATTCACATATGCAGTATTGGTACTTGAAGCCTGAAGCTTGAGGTTGTATCTCTCGCTCTAACATCCAACTTGTACTAGGATCTAAAGCTTTCTGTCTAAGCTCCTTCGGTGCATCTGGGTGGTTTATAATTGTTATATGTTCGAGGCACGAGAACCAATGTAGAATTGGAGGACACAGCTTTTGCGACTTTCATCTTTCTTGCTTCGTAGTTCTTACCACTACTAGACAGTACTCCTCGAATTCTCTACTCCTCGACTCCACTCTCATTTCGTCGCACCCGCCCACCACTCCCGGGCCCTTCTCAGCAGCAAACACGTGTTCATTTCATATCACTTTCGCGCACGATGTTTCGGGTCGAAAAACCCTTCAGGTTTTCAGCCCTAGTGATGTGCACGGCTCGGCTTGAGGCCCTGGGCCGGCCCAAGCCGGGCCCAAATAAGCCGGGCCCAGCCCAGGCCTAAGTCACGGCCTGAGGAAGGCTTGGGCCTGGGCTTGAGTTTCGAAAAGCCTGAGCCGGCGGCCTAAGCCGTGGCTTTGGCATGTTCAGTGGCACTCACCGGAGGTACGTTTCCCGACTCTATTTTTGTCTTTCTAAGCTTCTGACTTCCATCACTTTATCAGCTTCAACTCAGATGGTCCTGCACTGTCCAACATATCCAGCAATTCACCCTCCTTCAAGGCCTTATCTCTTGTCTGTTGCTACGGAAAAGCCACGGTGAGCTGCCAGCACTATGTCCTGTGCTTTGCGAGTTTGACATAACTCACTCTACCAGGTTTCAGTTGCGCAAATTGATATTTTTAGTAAATTTAAAGCCTTTTGTGCTTCGCCTTCACAAGTGTCTGCGTGATTGCGCACCCAGTACTATCTTTCAATCGATTTATGTTGGTACGTGTCCCTCTAACATCCCTACCTGCTACCCACCCATGACAAACACAGATGCCGAGCACCGTGTTGCACGTCCCGTGCGCAAAACGAAACCTACAGCCACCCTTCTTCAGCATGCCGAGCAGGCAGCACTGCCATCCCAAACCAAGGCAATTAACGAGTTCCACGCTGCGGAGGCTGCTAAATGTGCTGCTGAACATACCTCCACTTCATCCACTACCGAAATCACGCAATCTCCACCCACCTCTCCCATACCATCAGCGCCGTCTGTGAAATGTGCGCTACGACACGATCTTCTGTTCCGGGAGCCTCAACCATCATCTCTCATTGAGTTGGATTACCTGGACGACAATGACGAAGAAGCGGAAGCGGACGCAGAGACTGGTGATGTTGTGGATGGAGAAGAAGCTTGGGACATGATGCTTTTGGGTGATGATGCCGAGGACGTGTCGGATGTTGAGATGGACGTTTAGATACGTTGTATTCACGCTGTTGCTTGTTACTACTAGCCTACACTAATGAGCATCTGTTGGCTTCCAAAAGCCGCGGCCTGGTTGGGCCCAAGCCCCGGCTTTGGGCTGGCTTGGGCTCACGGCCTAGGCTCTGAATTTTTGTGAGCCTAAGCCCTTCGAAGCCGAGCCTAAGCCGGGGCTTTGAGCCTAAGCCGGGCCGGAACATCACTATTCAGCCCAAATAGCACCAAACATTTTTACTGTTCATTTACTCCGTTGACTAGCAATTAATCTGATTTCTTTCCCACTATGAAAAACTAACAGCAACGCATAGATAGCATTCTGTAGCATTTTCTTCAAAGCTCTCTTGCTGTCACCAAGTACAAAATGGCGGACACTTCACATACAACGTGTCATTTGCGACGTTTATAGCCTTTTGTGCATCTCGCTCCGTAGACTGTGCCCCGGGCGGAGAGTTCTGTCGAGCAATGATTGCATAACCCCTCTCTTGACTTGTACTGAATGGCAGTTCAAAAATCTGTGTAAGAAATCAATGAACATAAATGTCGACTACCCAGCCGGGGTGATTCGTGAAGCTCTTCACAAGCACTGGGTTAAGGTGAAGTGCATTCAACGCGCTCACGCAATTCAGACACTCGACTATCACGTCCATCGTAAATCGTGTCTTGCCACATGAGGTGTCATGCCAGATCAGTGTTGTGCAACTTCATTTTTACCTACAAACCATTACGAGGCAACAAAGGAAAATACAATATTGAAGTCAAAATCGGGTGTAAATATCGTGGAGGTATAAAGTCTCCAAGTCTGAAATATTGCAAGTCTTTCGTGACAAGTACCGCATGGCCATGACTAGATGCGAAGTCGTCAGATTGTCTCAAGAATGCTTTGATCAACAAGGTGGGGGGACGCACGAAATTGATTATATGCCAATATGCACGAATACTATTCGCTGGGCCAAGGGTATGTCCTTGTTGTCCTTGTCACTGGCCAACGACTGGACCGCTCGGTGCAGCGCTCGGGCAGCTCGTTTGGAATTCATCGTGCCATCCCCGCACAAGTTTTTGTAGAACGCCTCGACTAAGCGCTGCACAGTACTGTCATCGACCTTCCATAATGTCCCAACAACGCTCTTAACCCCGGCAAATTGCAGGCCGGCCGCTAGGTGTATCACTTCGTCGGGCGTACTAAAGGTACCGACTGCAGTTTCACAGGCAGAAAGAAATGCAAATTGATGCCGAGACAGATCCATTTGAGCGATATCGAGGAGCGAAAGCGGCTGGTCGCGCATAAGAAAGGCTGATTTGAAGGGTTCGTCCATTCTCTGCGTTCCATGACACGCGAGATGGAACCAAGTATTGTCTTGCAATGCGCTGAGAGCTTTCGATTTCGTGGCATCAACGCTGGTTATCTTGGAGAACGAAACAGTTGGGGGAGCGGGCATAAGTCTTCGCACTAATTCCAGTTCAGGCTCTACAGCATCCAAATTGAACGAGGCACCGGCTGGGCGATTCTGACCAATGGCGACAAAGGGCACCGATGGGGACCTGTCGTGACTTGCGCGAGCATTGATCAGCGCGGTGAGCGATGGCGTGTATGAAGAAATGTAGTGGCGTGAGACGGACTCTCCACCCTTCCTGTATTCGCCAGCAGCGTGCAACGGCAAGAAATTGAAGACAGACGTCGGGCACCACCATATTCGAGAACCTTCTCGTGCGATTCCACACAGATTTTCGACCACTGGGCGGACAACGTCCCACAGCTCTCTCAAAGCTTCCATCAGCGCTCGCTGGTTCCCTTTAGGACCGGCGTCTTTAGGAACTGCCTCTTGGAATGCGAGTACCAACTCGGTGAGTTTCTGCAAATTGGTAGGTAGTTCGATGCTAGTGGGAGGTTGCTTGTGTGGGATAATGATGGCATCGCAAGATAATTTGCTTGCGATGAGTACGATGATGGGCCCATCGCGAGCTGCATCTTGGAGATAGGAGAATAAGGGGGGAAGTAGGAAGCGAGAGAAGCCCTCGATCTTCCGGATCTCTTCTACAGTTCCATTCCAGTCCTTCACTAGACGTCTGTACCGCGTCTCTTCTGCTTCAGCATCAACTCTTCGGGTGCCTTCTGAATGAGTCGCAGGTGATTTATCAAGAAGGGAGCTGAGTTCTCTGAATCTCTTCATCAGTGTCAGCGCATGATCGCCGCAAGTCTGGAGGCTATCGAGAGGCGTGCACAGTCGTGCCATCTGGGTCCAGATGATAGTCCTGCCTTGCTCCAACAGCTCAACAGCGCGACCCACATCACCACTACCAAGAGCGCATGAAGCAGCATTCACAGCAAGCATGCGTGGGAATTCCATCATGACATTATGACGAGACGATACAGAGGCTGTGACAGACATGTAAGTGTCCAAGAGTTGCAGAGAGGTCGCATAAGCCTCCAGCTGAGTGCCATGCGAATATTGACTAGCACGGTGCACCCAACTTAGACTTGCCCACAGGCGAGATAGCAAGCCTCCAGAAACAAGATTTGCTGCTGCCTTGACATGATGCATGGCAGCATTCAGACTGTCTGTATTTCCGCCCACGCCGCTGCCGTCAAGACCTGAATGATGGGATGAGAGATGAAGCCTAGCTAGCGACTCATGGACTAGTAATTGACGAGGATTATGGTGCGTCAACATGGTCAATGCACAGCGTAGGTTCTCTAGTGACTCGCTGAGGTCTTCTCTATTGCCTCGGCGGTCAAAGCGAGAGAAGAGTTGATTCGCGAGGTTGTTTAATGACCCAGACCGATCTGTGTGACCGACCGGGCGCAAAGCCAGCGCTTCCCTGTGAAGTGCGATAGCCTCATCCAAGTCTTCGTCGTTCCCTTGGTGGTCAAAGTGGGAGGAGAGTCGAGCAGCGAGGTTGTTTAATGACGCAGACCGACCTGTGTGACCGACCGGGAGCAAAGCCAGCGCTTCCCTGTCAAGTGCGATAGCCTCATCCAAGTCTTCGTTGTTCCCTCGGTGGTCAAAGCGGTAGGAGAGTCGAATAGCGAGGTTGTTTAATGACTTGAACCGATCTGTGTGACCGACTGGGAGCAAAGCCAGCGCTTCCCTGTGAAGTGCGATAGACTCATCCAAGTCTTCGTTGTTCCCTCGGTGGTCAAAGCGGGAGGAGAGTCGATTCGCGAGGTTGTTTAATGACGCAGACCGACCTGTGTGACCGACCGGGTGCAAAACCAGCGCTTCCCTGTGAAGTGTGATGGCCTCATCCAAGTCTTCGTCGTTCCCTCGGTGGTCAAAGCGGGAGGAGAGTATAGCAGCGAGGTTGTTTAATAATCCAGCCCGATCTGTGTGACCGACCGGGAGCAAAGCCAGCGCTTCCGTCTGAAGTGCGATACCCTCATTTAAGTCTTCCTCGCTGCCTCGATGGTCAAAGCGGGAGGAGAGTAGAATAGTGAGGTTGTTTAATGACTTGAACCGATCTGTGTGACCGACCGGGCGCAAAACCAGCGCTTCCCTGTGAAGTGCGATAGCCTCATCCAAGTTTTCGTCGTTCCCTCAGTGGTCAAAGCGGGAGGAGAGTAGAACAGCAAGGTTGTTTAATGACTTGAAGCGATCTGTGTGACCGACCGGGCGCAAAGCCAGCACTTCCATCTGAAGTGCGATACTCTCATTCAAGTCTTCCTCGTTGCCTCGATGGTCAAAGCGGCAGGAGAGTCGAACAGCGAGGTTGTTTAATAACATGGACCAATCTGTGTGACCGACCGGGTGCAAAGCCAGTGCTTCTCTGTCAAGCGCGATAGCTTCATCCAAGTCTTCGTCGTTCCCTCGGTGGTCAAAGCGGGAGGAGAGTCCATTCGCGAGGTTGCTCAATGACTTGGATCGATCTATGTGACCGACCGGGTGCAAAGCCAGTGCTTCCATCTGAACTTCGATAGCCTCATCCAAGTCTTTGTCGTTGCCTCGACGCTCGAACCGAGTTCCCAGCATCAGAGACAGATTACCTAGCAATTGCCCTCAGAGAGCATGCCCAGTGTTGTAGTATCTGAGTGCATCGTAATGAAGGGATATCACTTCATCCAAGGCACCGGGCTCATCTCTCTGCAAACACCACTGTACTCGATCAGCAAGTTGATTCGGCGATAACGGAAGCAAGGATGGGGCAGGCCGCTCCTGCTCAAGATCATCTCCATCAATCCTTCCAGCGGAATGCAGAGCCCATGTTTCCACTGTAATCAAAGCTGCTCTGTAGATGTGGCTGTTGGCATTGCAGACCTCGAGCACTTCGCTCAGCAATTCTTCAGCTGCAACAGCATCCATTTGAAATCCCCGTTTCGCGAACCGCGAGAGCAGAGCAATGGCAAGATGGAGCTGGGTGACGCTTCGGTCTGGATGATCAGTGGGATGCGAGTCGAGTGCGCCTTGAAAAAGGGAGATAGGGATGTCGAAGTCGAGGTATCTTCCATCAGCTTGGCAACTAGCAAACTTTGCGGTAGCTAGATTGGACAGAGCTGCAGGGCGGTGAAGGTACAACAATTCAGAGAGTGAGTCTGAACAATGTTGGGTCTTGCAGAACCTAGCTGCTATTCGACCCTAAAGGGTTTCTGGACCAGGCTCAAGGTTCAGAGAAGAGGAAATATGATAGAAAACTACTGAAGACTCTGACTCCTACTGGTAACTGGTGAAAAGATAACTTGCTTATGTAAGCTACAAAAGTGCCAACATAAGGTAAGGTAAAAACAGTCTCTACAAGCCCAGCCAGAAATGAATCCCTACAGCGGTAGGGATGATCCACAGGGCACAAATCCGAGGCCCGTTCAAAGTACTTTATGGATTGTTCGAGATCTCCGCTGTTCTGCGTCCTATGGTATTGTGCGAGAAGACGATGTCCCGCATCCGTCCTTAGTGCTAACGCATTCATATCGCGGGATGCAAGCTACATGGGACAGCTCTCAGCATCAGAATGCCAGATCGCATGGATCGCTTACAGTGGTGAGGGGGCAAAGAACTGCGGCGTCGTTTTGATCGGAAAGTTGCTGCTCCACTCTCATGAACAGTGAAGTACAAGCGGATATGACTTCCCCCTGCTTTGGCTGAAAGATTATGGCTGCGACCCTCGTTAGCATCTGTTAGGCGTTATGTGCGGTAGATGATACTGACGAAGCGATTTTTCGGTGCGATCCAGTAATTCTCCGACGGAGATCTCGAACGTGCGGAGGAGTTCTCCGTGACAGAGCATGGGACCCGATTCGAATGAGGCATACACGCTGACCCTAACTTTAAAAGATGGATCGCACGGCCTACAGTCTTTCTCAATTCCTGCAGAACAGACGGGGTCAAGGATGACTTACAGAACAATGCGCTCGTGCCATTCCACGACAGCCTGGTCTACGTTGACAGATTCGTTGCTTGTCTGGTATTCAGCACCGTCAGCCTTGACCACCACATGGAAGCCAGCAGGGATCCGTCGGAGACCAAGAGCGAGATCAGTTGCATGCATGGCTTGGGAACAATCGTCATTACGAGCTGAGCGGAGATAGATATTGCATACCAGTAATAACGACTTGTTGCACTCCACTGAAGCCTATCTCTCCCAAATCCTGGATGTGTTCTGGGCAACTGGACTTCTCACTCGAGGCTGTGAGTGTATCATCGAGTGGGTCCGACATGGAATCTGTCAGGGAAAATCACGGGTGACATGTGCTAAGTGAAGGTAGATGGCACATACTGTTGGTGGCGACTTGTGGTGTTTCACTGAACGCAAGGTTTGTCGTTCCCGGATCCCGTGGCTGTTCTGATTGGCCTGGCTCCCCAACTGAGGCTTGGAGGGTATCATCGAGCGGGTCTGGCACGGTGTCTGTGGCGGACACAAATACGAGATTAATGAGGAAATAAAATGTCGGAAGTCATCGGTACATGCTACATGAAGATAAACGTGAGACATACTATTGACGACAACTTGCAGTGTTTCACTAATCATGAGGTTGATCTGTCCTATGTCCTGGGAGAGTTCTTGGTGGTTCGTGCCCTCTCTTAAGGGTGAAGGGCAGTCACTGAAATGGCCAGTGAAGAATCCTGACATATGACGAAGGGTGGATTCAAACTAAAACCAACACTTGAGATGCTGGAGGTCACGAATCACTGCAATACCTGTAAAGTCCTGAAGGATTATAAAAGAATGAAGTACAGCACGCGCGTGGCATACACATCGTGCACCGCCGATGAACAGGACAGAAGCAACTCGCAGAAAGGCTGAGAACATCGAGCGACTCATAGCCTCATTTACAATGTGCATTGTGCATCAGATTTGCACAGCAAAATCAATATTGATTAAAGCAGCCGCAAGGCTGTAGCTGCAGAGCATTCACAAGGACTCCCAGGCCTCGTATCAGTTGCGAAGTACTGGCTCATTGTCATCGCCTGCAATGACTAGGACTGGCCATCCTACTACTACTGCTGTCAGACAATAGTATTATTAGTAAGTTGCATGAGAAGGCAGAAATCTGTGTCAGAAATCAATGAATGTCTTTAAAGCTAAGCAATGAACGGAAATGTTGAATACTCAGCCGGGGTGAAGATCTTCACAAGCACTGGATTTTGGCATTTGCATGTTAAGTATAAGTGCATTCAATGCCCTCACGCAATTCAGACACCCGACTATCACGTTGACCGTAAATCGTACGTGTTTTGCCACATGAGGTGTCATGCCAGATCAGTGTTGTGCAACTTCCTTCTTACTCACAAACCATTACGAGGCAACAAAGGAAAGTACAAGATGGAAGTCAAAATCAGGTGTAAATATCGTGGAGGTATAAAGTCTCGGAGTCTCAGATATCAAAGTCGTTGGCGACAAGTTCTGCGTGGCCATCACTAGATGCGAAGTCGTCAGTTGTCTCAAGAATGCTTTGATCAACAAGGTGGGGGGACGCACGGAATCGATTATATGCCAATATGCACGGATACTATTCGCTGGGCCAAGGGTATATCTTTGTCACTGGCCAACGACTGGACCGCTCGGTGCAGCGCTTGGGCAGCTCGTTTGGAATTCATCTTGCCATCCCCACACAAGTTTGTGTAGAACGCCTCGACCATGCGCTGCACAGTACTGTCATCAACCTTCCATAATGTGCCAACAATGCTCTTGACCCCGGCAAATTGCAGGCACGCTGCTAGGTATCGTGCAAACTAAAGGTACCGACTGCAGTTTCGCCTGGCGATATAGACATAAGATAAACACGCACCCCAAGCACGTCGATCCACAGGACACTGCTGTTTCGAAGCAGTCGTTCCTAGCCATTTGAGAAAACGGTGCATGCGGAATACGTGACTGCATTCGAATTTCGCCCCAGACTGTTGTGACAGAAAGTTAAGATTGGTGGGTTGTCGTTACTTTGCGCGAAGAAAAGATGGAAGGGGGACGTGACGAGCGGAAAAAATGCACCATGCACGACAAAACTACAAAGGAGCGAAACGAACTCACTCAAAGGACAGTCATCTTACACGACAGACAGCACCCCTCATATGGGACGCGACATATCCCACAGACGTCGCCTTCGTTGTCTTGATTGTGATTTGTGTTTCCTGTGTTCCAGCGCCATTGAGCGATGGCGTTCCAGTGTTTGATGCGGACTTTCATGGACTGGTATGGGTTTGTGTGGAGTATGCAGGAGCGTCCGAGGAGGGTTTGGGGTTATTTGGTATTGTGTACGCGTCGTGGGTATGTTAATAAGTCTATTATTAAAATGTACTAGTACTCGACTCTCAACATGAACTCGAATCCCGGGGGCCGGGACCTGGTGCACTGATCTTGGAGCTGATCCTCACACGTACTCTACATATTCCGAGCTTCAAATCCACGAGCATCTAGAGGACTTCATATGGGGGAGATTGGACAACTGGTCGTTGATTATGGTGTTCTTTGATCAGGGTCAGCATTCCTGAAGGCGCGGGACGCATAATTTATTTACACAGTATTGGTGCTCGAGGTTGTATCTCTCGCTCTAACATCCAACTTGTATTAACTAATCGTGTGCTAGCAAGCTTCATGATCAGTCTCAAGGATGGAACGTTCAGCTGTAGCCTCCTGAAGCAAGATATGGAAGTTGTGATTCCATCTGCTGACACTCCTGGAGGCATTGGCAATTACTGCGGGTCTCACGTCGATACTGGGCTCCACCTGCCTCGGAAACAGTGGATTACAGCTTTGTCCTTGGTGCTGAGGTTTTTTTGCGGTTCGTTCAGCCTCGGAATTTTGCTGTAGCACATTCATAAAATGTTACATAGCCCCACCCAGAAGTTCGGACGTCAGTGGAAGGCCTGTTGGGATCCTGAATACAATTCTTATTACTCAGCATCCGACATGTGCGTGAACAGTGATGCATGATGAGGCGTCCATGCAAGATTGTTTTGTAGTTCAGCGCTAGTAACACGTTCACAACACGGAATCTCAATGTGCACTAGTCCCCCTTAACAGATTATGGACGAATAAGGCCATTGATTCTCCTAACTCTGAGTGTGCACGTTCATTCATTGTTTTTGACACGTCTAAATTGCTATTGCCAGAAATGTCCTATTCAACAGCCTCGACTAGTGCTTGAATCGAGAGTCGGTTGTCAATACATTGAATCTATGCTTGGACCTCTAGTGGCTGGCATAGATTTCTTTGACTGCTGCTCGGACCACCAAAGGCGCTGAGTAAAGCAAGTGCTCAACATCTGTCTCAAAGTTGCTCTCCATGGATGGTGAGGCTTTCACGTGATGATGTGGGCAGCTATGTGCGCTTATCTTGCTTTCAGCGATCCCGCAGTGAATACCGTATTGTAAGTATCCTGCATTTAGCGAAAATATACCATTGTGCAGTGGTGAGAAATGTCCACAGTGCCAGTGTAATAATTTCATGTGTCAACTATTGTCCACAACAATGCAGCCGATAGAGTCAACGGGGCTGTGAGCTCTACAACTGAATACTGCCCAGACTAAAGACTTGAAGACCTGTGGACTTGTGGATACGATTGGTTATATAAAAAAGATCGTGCAGATGATTGAGGGCTACCAACAGCTCTTCATCATGCATAACGCTCTCAAAGTCAACGATATCGTCTACGCTATACTGCAACATGCCAAGTCCTCTAAGCCGGACTTGCTAAACATGGCGATGACCTGCTCCACGTTCTCAAATCTCGCTCTGGACATGCTATGGTCTCAGCAGGACAATTTGACACCCCTCGTCCAGTGTCTCCCGCAAGACACTTGGACAGTCTGGTACGGTAGAACTATTGTGAGCGATGTCTGCCACTTGAGTCTTGACAGGACAATGCTCACTGTACTCCAATTTGCAGATTTTTTCCCGCGAACCGCTGCCCACGGAGTGGGAGCGTGTCAGGATCAATGCGGCAAGGATACGCGAGTTTATCTTTACAGGGTACACTTGTCGTTCCCCGAAACCAAGTGGCTTGGTCCTACAGCAACTTTTTGAACTGTTTCCGCCTGCTGTGTTGTTCCCTCAACTGCGCACATTGCATCTCAACACAGTATCTCGGCATTTACTCAACTTCGGTGCAGAACTCTCGTTGCTCCGCCAGTTCCTCTCGCCAAGATTGGAAAGCCTCACATTTAACGTACTGCCCGGCGCTCCGATGCACGAGGTAGAGCAATTGTTTGATGCTCTTTTTACTGAAGCGCCTGGCCTCCGGCAACTATCGCTACACAGTGCCCACAACCTTTCGGCCTGTCCTTCCAAAGTACCTAAGCTGCCGAAGAAGCTGAATGGATTGTCTATTGGCCTGCTCGGCATGGATCTGATGAAGCAGATCATTCCTAATATCCAGCATTTGTGCAGTCTCCATACCCTTACGCTGGCTTTGGGCAAGTCAGTTGATATGGCATTCCAACCATCAGGTGGTATGCAACTTGAATTGAGTACGCTCAAACATCTCTATCTCCCTGGCGCCCGCTTGGAAAATTGTATATCCTTCCTTCATAAAGTTACCATGCCACGATTGTCGGTCCTCGAAATCTCGTATTACACAACTGCTCAACCAGCCGAGATCACCGCGGTCATCGAATCCTTATCTACGTCTTGCAAAACATTTGCATTCCTGGAAGATATCACTGTGGTCGACTATTCGGAAAACCCCTCGGAGGAACCTGGGCCTGACGACCAACTCCATTCCTCTATTTTCCGACCTTTGCTCCGGTTCAGGAGGCTGTCGAGTGTCAAATTCATTGACATTGGAAAATACTGCCTGGATGACGCGTTCATCGAGGACGTTGCAGTTGCTTGGCCAGATCTTTGTACGTTGACATTCACCTCAAAAGTACCTGGCGAATATCAGGTCACCTTGACCCCTGTGCTTTCATTAGCGACCAGGTGCAAGTCGCTTCATGACCTGCACTTAATGTTCGATGCCACACATTTTCCGACACTCCCCCGTGCGCCGGATGGAAATCTGGAACTTTGGACCACGCAGACGGCCGTCCGCAAACTACATGTCGGACACTCGAAGGTGTCGGAAGCATCATGTTTCCACATCTTCCTAGCAGTGCTGTTTCCAAATCTAGCCGATCTCAAGTATTGTTTCGATTTCGATGGTCTTTCGGCGTGGATACAATTAGAAAAGGCATGGAGCGAACTGCTGATCGAGCGGGAAAACTCTGCAGACGAGGCAGCTTCTTGGCCAAACTTTCTACTGCAGCTACAGCCTTAGTCGGAGGAGGAGGACTAAGTGGAAGATGAGGAATGGGAGAAGGAGGACAAGAATGACTGATTGTGAGGATAAATAGGTTGTACATGAAATAGTACGATATGTTAGCTATTATGTACCTTTGCTCTATATGCTTGCAGTGTATGTGCACGATGTGCGGCCAATCAAATTTGAGAGGCAGCAGAAGATGGCAGTCATTTGCGACCACTTTCAGCAATGTATATACATATATGGATGAAAAGAGACTCGTCTTGCGCAGATATCTATAACGTACAGTCATCGATGTCATCTCTATGACGAAAATAAAAAAGGATGTTCAACGGGCGAATCTAATTAATTCGATAACTCAATTTCCAATTCGAATCCTTCAGTGCGTTTCACTATAGTACTCTTGTCACATGAGGTGTCATGCTAGTATGTCCATTTCTCCATTGAACGTTGGCACGGTGGGTACTGAACAGGGTATTGTAATGTGCGATCTAATGATATATACAGAATGTCTTCAGGAGCGAATCTTGTTTGTCAAAGTGTCAGTGGTTACAGGAATGTAGAAACTCATATGCCTAAATGTTAGCACGTTTACTCTCAGAACAAGCTTCTTCTTTTCATGAGGCTTTGATGATATGGTAATACTCGTGACAACGCCCACAGATGAGCAGTAATAAGCGGGATGCATTTCCCTCGTTCCCTTGAGGTAGTGTCTAGGATCCCAGATCCAATTTCCATTTCAAATTCACTTCCGTACGTCCAATAAGTTAAATATTTAAGTACCAAGACGAAATTTTGAATAAATACGAACCGAATTCACATCGAAAATCTTTCTCCCGTTTCACATAGTACTGCTAGTTGACACTGACGCTCTCCTGGAAATTGATTGAAGCCACAGCAGTTGCTGCGTCCGATTGGGCCACAAGCCTAGCATGATATTCTCGAATGCTTAGGATGAGGCGTGGTCCCAATATAAACATCTGCACGAGCATAAATATTTCAGAGAAACCACTATAAATTTGAGTCTCCGTGGAATATGAGGACTATGAAAGTGATGAATCGGGGTTGCATGCAAAGGTCAGAATTGGTCGGCGTACCACTGAGATCGTGGGAGAAAGATAACCGATGAGCTCGATGCAAGTAAGAACAACAAAGCTAGCGATGATGCAGGACTTGAATTAGCGAAAAAAGAGTGTATTCAGATTGTGAACTCACCTCGCAAAGTAAGTGACGTGAGTTTTCATCAAAATCGTGAAACAGTCCATGATTATTCCTTCTGATGATTGTTGTCGCAGTTCACGGAAGTGTTTAAGAGCTATCCAGACTGTGAGGCACAGTGTGAGGACCTCCCATACTGTGAGGAGTATCCAAGTGATGTAATTCAGAACTTGTAGGACACTTCCCCCCAAAGCGACAGTGCACTCATAATTGCCAGAAAAAACGCGTTCCTCTGATGTTTGTCAATAAGCCAGGTGTACTTGAATGTTTTATCCAAAATCAATGCTTACCGACTACAAAACGGCTCACCGTTATTGCGATCATCACTCCGATGGTGATTCTTATAGCCAGGAAGACGACGACGAGGAATATCAGCATACGTCTGGATTTCTGATACATGGCATATAACCGAACGATCATGATGACTTGCCTGACGTTTCAGTCAAGTCAACATCACAAAAATGCATAGCTCACCACCCAGCATTATATTTGCGACATCATTAATGTATTCTATTGCGTCGGACATGATATGGCCTGACAAATCAAGTAATATAAGTTATTAGTCTTAGAGGAGTACACATTTTAAAGAAACTCACAACTATGGAAGTCATTATCTTGATCCAACAAGTTTTTCGAGAATCTCACTCACCCCTACATAGTAATGTGTTGGTTGAACGAGAATGACTAGTAGGGTTCCCGAAGAATACTCACTGTATCGGTTACCGAAATTGTCGGAACATAAACTGCATGCCCTCAGTCAGAACACACACGACGACTTTGAAATATGAAGAGACGCACCCAAAACACAGATGCTAATTGTGAAAGATGGCTATTTAGCACAACGCCGATTGCATATCCTCCGGAACGTACATGGCATATATCATTCCGATGTAGCGCACCTAGGATATTTCGAAGTTAGTACCACGACTTTGCCAACCATATTTTTGTCACGAGTTACATACACCAAGGTACATGACGGTCATCAGGGACCAGTGTCGACTCTGCCGCAAAATAGTTGAATTTTCACGTCGCTCTTTCGATACAAGAGTCTACCCACCCAGATCAACTCAACCTGTAAATCATCGATAGCGGGATGGCTACTCTAATAATGGCATCAACCTGACCTCTTGTCCGATCGTGAGTACTGACAATACCTAAGGCCGTCAGTGGTTTTTTGATACTCGTTCTTGCTCACCCCAGTCGTACATTACACAAACAAAGGAGGCAACTGCGACACCGCGAGCAAGGTCAGATTGAGTCGTCATTGTCATGATCCCACTGGCTGTCCACGAACCTACAAAATAGCTGCTTATGCGATGTGGATCTAGGAGTGGCCCGGACCAACTGGGATCATCTGAGACTGTTAGGGTCATATTACCAGAGAATGGAAGTAGACGAGTGAGGGAACTTGGGAGGACGTATGATGATGGCATTCATGTTAGATATACCATATTCAAGTGCTTGCATCGCCGAAGTGAGATTGAGGGATGGTATCCATTCTTGCCTTGGTTGGCATACACGTAAAGCAGATAAGGGTTTCATCAGTGAAATACTGTAGAACACATACGGTCCTAACTTAGCGCAACATAATCTTCGAAAGAGCTCAAGTTCTCGCATTTCAATGATGACATTGAATTCAGCAGTCCCTCTGCCTCACTGATCCAATTTGCGAAGTGCGAAAGGTCTCTTAACAAATGGCTTGGTTACGTTCTATCAGAAATGGTCAATGATATCATTGGTGAATGCCACCAACTGACAACTCACCGGTGTACCTCTATCATCAGATTTGCCAGCGCGTATACCTCAACGCGTAATCCAATGAACCGCTTTCCTCTCCCAAAGTCGGTTGTATCCTCGATCATCGGTCACTCCATGCGACCTATAGCGCTCATGGATGTCTTCATCGGGCTACAATGTCACAAGGACTCTTATGCGGTAGATAGCTTTGTTACCGATGAAAAATTCAAATACTGTTAGTATGGATGTTGATGGCTTGTATAGTAGTATGCCTGCGAACCAAATAGAGGGAGGGACAGCTGTTCCGTTTTGTTACGTGAGGTGCGGGTAACCGGAACGTTTCCTTTGGTTCATGTACATGAGGATCAGTACAGATAGGACCAAAAGTGCATACATGCGTTGTTCCCAATTCCCGGTCACTAAGACACGATCGGCTTGTAGTATAGTGACGAGGGCAGTCCTACAAGGGTGGATAGTTGGCCAAAGACGGGGAACGGGGGAGGTGAAGAGCGTGCATATAAAGGACAAGGAAAGAGATCGGCTGTACGAAGAAAGAAAGATAGAGAACGAACAGGAACGCGGAACGAAAGCCACGAGCAAGTGTGGTGATGCTACACGTTTCATGAATTCAGAATGTGCGATGACTCCAGTTGAGTGGTTCACAAGTGGTGACGGGATTGAATGCACCAGTGAATGAATATTAATGTTGGTGAATGTATTTGAGAGGGTGTGCCAGCTGAATATTTGGGCCCGTTTCTTTGAAAGTTAAGAAACTTCGCCCAGAGGCCATTGAAAGAACCGTGATAGACACAGACCAATATCAGGATCAGATGGAACCGAAAAACAGGCATCAAATAGTGCTTGTACTTTGTGCATGTCTGGCATCATACTTGCTCTGCTGCAGAGAGGAGTCACTAGTCAGGCCTGGAGCGAAATAAATTTTTCCTGGTAGGACTCGGAAGCGTAAGCTTTAGCACTGGTAAATTGCAAAAGCAAATGTGCGGAGTTTAAAACGCTCTCATTACTACTCTCGAATGTGCCGGACTCCACTGCAGCGCGCCAACGAAGGACCCGCGGCTCACAGTATTGAGTCTACCCAATGATTCTGTGTTGCAAATACTATGTATTCGCAGGTAACACCACTCACTGAACGATGTTAAATTGGCTGACTACGCTACTGATGTAACTGAATCATATGCTGCGACTAGTACACTTAATAACTCAAAACTGTGACGATACAGGACTCTCCTAAATTCATTCAGTGGGTTTCAGACACTAAAAAGAATGTCTTAAATATCCTTTACGCCGTAGTGTGCCAAAATGCCAGCCCTCAGCACGAAAATAATACCAGATCCCAAGCTCATATATACATACGTGATACGTCACTACTTCATGCCCAAGATCTTACAACCCCTCTCTATACTTGGCCATAACAGCCCCCAACGACGCCTCGTCTCCAAACCGTGGCTCGAAGCGCGCAGCCAAGCGTTTTGGATGCGCAATCACGCCATCCACAAAGCCCGATTAATCAATAGGATTCTCCGGGTCCTGCGTGATCTTGAACGACCACAAAACGAGCGCGAGTTTGATGAAGATCGAGCGATTCGCGATGCGTCGCCCGGGGCAGATTCTGTGCGTTGTTTTTCAGAACTACGGTACATCTGGTTTATCGGGGAAAGGCATACCTGCGTCCAAAACCGTATGAAGGGAACTTGAGGTCTTCACGGATTTTGCCATCGCTGCCGAGCCATCTCTCGGGATCAAACTTGTCAGGGTTGGGATAGACGTTCGGGTCGCGCGAGATAGCCCTGTCAAAGCATGATCAGCGCACACGTTTCGCCTAGAATACACATCATTCAGTACCAGTGGTTGCCAAAGACGATAGCGCCTTCTGGTATGCAAATGTCTTTCTGCTCGACCAGCGAATCAATTTAGGAATCATCCCAAAGCCTTGGAAACGTACGTATGGTATGTCAGTCAGGGCACGGTGGGCAAATCCAAGAGTTGTCACGGGCCTCCAGCGAAGATACTCAAGCGTGAACGCTTCAATCTGGGGAAGGGAACCGTAGTCGTCCAACGTGGGAGCTATGATAACCGGGTTGAGATTTTTTTTACTCAGATGAGCTCACATGTTGACCTACACCTGCCACGACCAATGACGGTGTCGAGTTCCTCTTGCACTTTCTCCTGCGCCTTGGGATAGCATGCAGCAGCCATGACGACAACCATAATCGCGACAGCAGTCGCGTCTGAACCGGCACCAAAGAGGGAACTAGGCCATTTCTTCATCCGAAAGCTTGTGCGAAGACTGATTCTCGGGAAGGTACCAAGAAAATGAGGGTCCAGCTTCGCCGGTCGCCTACGAACTAGTCAGGCAGGTATTCAGGAAAGATATTTGAAAACATACCAATTATTTCGGAACACAATTAAGTTGATCGCGGAAGAGTTGACTCTCTTCCCTTCTCCATCCCTCTAACTCGGTTGTGTATCCCGGGAGGTATCTGATTATTGGGAAACGTTCTACTAACAACGCACCAGGTCGCATGAGATTCTAGAAGCGCTCGAGCATCTATGGCGGTGGGCATGAACTTGCCATACATGACACGTAAGATGATATTGAAGCGGCATAGCTTGAGTTGAATGCATAAGTGACCGTAAAATCAGCGATAAAGTGACCCATACTGATTTGCAGCTGCTTGGTGTTTTTGGTGTTTTCAAAGATGTCAAAGATGTCATCACGGGCGGCGTCCATTTGAATGGGCGTATAGGATTCTGCGGCCTTTGCTTGAAGGTGAGTGTGCGTGGCCCTGGATAATGTAACTTTAGTAAAGCAGTCGACAAGAAAAGATATCACTCAACTTGGGAAGTCTCCGAAACTGCTCTCCTGCAGGTGCAAGAATCATACGTAGACCGGCAGACAGAATTCTCCTGCTGCAACTGCGCGAGGACGGTCCGCTAGCACCCTCTTTTTCCATAATATGCGAATGAGTATGTGCTCTAGGTAGCCATTAGTTCGGTACCATCTTACCTGATTCCTGCCAATGATGATCATGACCCTGGGTCCAACCCGGAGCGAGATGATTGTATTAATTCATTCAGCAAAGCGTTGAGATTGGCTGGATGTGTTCACTGTTAGCGTCCACGTAGACTCGAGGAGCATTATATTTATGAACTTGTTATGAACTCACTTTTCTTTTGGGTAGCCAACGTCCAGGGGGTCCAGGGGGAAGAGGCAAGCGTGACCTTGATCGTATATTTGCGGAGGATAACACACCAGTTTGCCTCGTCATTCACGGACCACATAGTTCTCATTCTCATGCACCAGTGACTCATATCCTGCACCATACAATTACAATCACGCGCCATACTATATTCCACATCATATTAGTAACCAATCATAATAATAATTTTTGACCTGTAATGTGGCTCACAAGTAGTGATGGGATTGAAGGCACCAGTGAATAAATGCTGGTGAGTGTACTTGAGGGAGTGGGTGCCGGTTGAATATTTGGACCCGTTTCTTTGAAAGCTTGAACCGGTGAACAGATGACAAAGCTATTTATGTAAAGCTCCTTCGGTGCATCTGGATATTTCATAATTGTTATATGCTCAAGGCATGAGAACCAACGTAGAATTGGGTCTATGCGACGACACAGCTTTATCTGCGGAAGAAATCAATGAACGTAAATGTCGACTACCCAGCCGGGGTGATTCGTGAAGCTCTTCACAAGAACTGGGTTAAGTTGAAGTGCATTCAACGCCCTCACGCAATTCAGACACCTGACTATCACGTCCGTCATAAATCGTGGCTTGCCACATGAGGTGTCATGCCAGATCAGTGTTGTGCTTACCCACAAACCATTACGAGGCAACAAAGGAAAATACGAGATTGAAGTCAAAATCGAGTGTAAATATCGTGGAGGTATAAAGTCTCCAAGTCTGAAATATCAAAGTCCTTGGCGACAAGTTCAGCGTGGCCATCACTAGATGCGAAGTCGTCAGATTGTCTCAAGAATGCTTTGATCAACAAGGTGGGGGGACGCACGGAATTGATTATATGCCAATACGCACGAATACTATTCGCTAGGCCAAGGGTATGTCCTTGTCACTGGCCAACGACTGGACCGAACGGTGCAGCGCTCGGGCAGCTCGTTTGGAATTCATCGTGCCATCCCCGCACAAGTTTGTGTAGAACGCCTTGACGATGCGCTGCACGGTACTGTCATCAACCTTCCATAATGTCCCAACAACGCTCTTAACCCCGGCAAATTACAGGCCGGCCGCTAGGTGTATCACTTCGTCGGGCGTACTAAAGGTACCGACTGCAGTGTCGCAGGCAGAAAGAAATGCAAATTGATGCCGAGACAGATCCATTTGAGCGATATCGAAGAGTGAAAGCGGCTGGTCGCGCATAAAAAAGGCCGACTTGAAGGGTTCATCAAATTTCTGCGTCCCGTGACACGCAAGATGGAGCCAAGTATTGTCCCGAAATGCGAGCAGTGCTCTCGATTTTGTGGCATCAACGCTAATAATCTTGGAGAACGAAACTGTTGGGGGAGCGGGCATAAGTCTCCGCACTAATTCCAGCTCAGGCTCTACAGCATCCAAAGTGAACAAGGCACCGGCTGGGTGATTCTGACCAATGGCGACAAAGGGCACCGACGGAGACCTCTCATGACTTGCGCGAGCCTTGATCAGCGCGGTGAGCGATGGTGTGTATGAAGAAATGTAGTGCCCTGAAAGGAACTCTCCATCTTTCCTGTATTCGCCAGCAGCGTGCAATGCCAGCAAGAAATTGAAGAAAGAGGTCGGGCACCACCATATTCAAGAACCTTGTCGTGCGATTCCGCCCAGATTTTCGACCACTGGGCGGACGACAACTCTCTCAAAGCTTCCATCAGCGCTCGCTGGTTCCCTTTGGGACCGGCATCTTTAGGAACTGCCTCTCGAAATGCGAGTACCAATTCCACGAGTTTCTGCACGGTGGTAGGGAGCTGAATGCTAATGGGAGGTTGCTTGTGTGGGATAATCTTCTCGAACGAGATGATTTGGCGACATAGACGATGACGCAAATGGGAGGGACGACGCACGCGGGGGCTCAAAGGCAAGGAGCATATAAACACGGTATTTTTAATAAAGGAGTACAAAGGAAATGGCGTAGATGGGCCTGTTCCGAACGTTACCGGGGTCCCTCGGTGGGCTGGTAATTGAGAGCTATCAAGCGAAAAAGCCCCGAGTTGGGGTAACACAATCTTCAAGAATTTTGGACCGTTTGTTTGGCGTTGTTAGGATCTAAAGCTTTTGCTTAGGTACCTGTTGCCGAAGGAGGACGTGTGGCCGCTTGTGCCCAACGCTTCAGAACTCTCAAAATCCTCCATGTTTTATAAAGCCATCGTGAAGGGGAAGAGGCCCCTTCAGGCGGCGTCTCATGCTATCACGAACAGCTCTTCTGCTCTTTTCTCACGCGTCTTTGTCAAGCGTAGAATCAGTCTATCAAGCACTGTGCGTTCTCTCAAGCGGGGTTCAACTAGAAGCGGTATTCCTCCGGAGACTACACCACCGCCACCACCGTTGTCAAGCTCGCATGGCGTTCCGCTCTACAGTATGTCTTTTCGTGTATGTGCATATCTGACCTCACCGAATTTAGGACGTCTTATGCTGGCATGGACGAAGACTCCCACAAAATGGTACCCGCTTCCCTTGGCCGTCGGGGCCATTCTCCTCGTCGTCATCCAATACCGCAAGAAAGTAGCACGCTCAGAGAACGAGGTTCATGTCGATGATGAAGGTCGTGAAGTCATTAAGCTCAAAGGTCCATGGCATGTGCGTATCACTGATTAGTTATCGTACTACGTTTGTTAAACTGGTCTCGTGCAGGTTCACGTAATAGGCGCCCTTCCTCTTCGAAACATGTCGCGCGTCTGGGGCTACATGAACTCACTCGAACTTCCTGTTTGGATACGGCCCTATGGCTTCCGGCTCTATGCATACGTTTTTGGCTGCAACCTTGAGGAAATCGACCCTGACGATCTAACGCAATACACGAGCCTGGGTCAATTTTTCTACAGAAAGCTCAAACCTGGTGCTAGGCCCATAGACAACGCTATCCTCGTAAGAATTTATCTTCATTAGAGAACTTTTATCTTAACTATATTACAGGTCAGCCCCGCCGACGGCACCGTTTTACATCTCGGAACTATTGAGAATCTTCGAGTGGAGCAAGTCAAGGGGATCACCTACTCATTGGATGCCCTCCTCGGTGTGGATCGTTCAGATCCAGAGAGCCCGACTTCGACGGTAATCGAATTCCCAGACCGAGAAATGTCTCATGTGACGGACCAAGAATTTGCTAACGTGAACGGTATCGAGTATAGCTTAGACCAACTCCTGGGTGCATCCACACCTTCCACTCCGGGTACCATAACACCTCCAATTACAAGAACTCAGTCCGCCTCCGAGGTAGAAACATCTTCCGTGCCGAAGAAATTCGGCGAGCAGGTTGACGCGTCTGTGGAGCATCCAGGATCCCTCCAAGAAACTATCGCGCATGATGCCTCCGTTGCTCGCGAGATGGGCGTCAGACCGTCGCTCGAGCGGAAGAGAAGTACTTCGGGCACAAGCGTTAAAGAAGGCAATGCACTTTACTTCACCGTCATCTACCTCGCTCCGGGTGATTATCACCGATTCCACAGCCCCACCGCATGGGTAGTGGAGAAACGGCGCCATTTCGTTGGTAAGTCCTCATGCACATGCTTCGCGTGCTGCTGACGGCGTGTGGCTTCAAGGCGAACTCTTCTCTGTTTCCCCATGGATGGCAAAGCGATTGCAAAACCTCTTCGTCCTGAATGAAAGAGTCGCCCTTCTCGGTCGATGGAAATTTGGGTTCTTTGGTATGATCCCCGTTGGCGCCACTAATGTAGGCAGCATCAAGATCAACTTTGATACCGTATGTATCATTCCATTGGTTTATAAGTGTACTTCATGCTGATGTCGTATTTAAAGGCTCTTCGCACCAACGTCCGAGGCAGACCCCCTCCTCCCGGGACTTATAACGAGGCCGTCTACTCAGCAGCGTCTCCTATCCTCAACGGTCAACCGTTGACCGCAGGTGAAGAGATGGGCGGATTTTGCTTGGGAAGCACCATCGTATTGGTTTTCGAAGCCCCAAAGACGTTCGAGTTCACCCTCAAAGCTGGGCAGAAAGTCAAGGTTGGAAACCGCCTCGGTGGCACGCCCAATGATTCTGCGGCGGTTCGCAAAGTGAAGACCGACTAGATATGCCCGAATTCCGGTCGCTTGCCGCAGACGATCTACATTGACGCATCTCATGACAAATTAATGATGAACGTTCATGATACCCTCGCATAAACCATTCGCCCACCGAAAACGATAGTTGCAACGATGTGTGTCATTATGCGGGAACGCAAGGACAAGTCCATAGTATACCAATCAATACAACAAGATAAATCTACATTTAAAGTACAGAATATACAGTGGCTACCAAGATCCTATACTAGGACTAAGTTTGCTCGTCAACAAAACCGAAGTGATCAGCTTGTAAGTCAACGTACCCGAATGTCTCTGAGCCCTGTAGCTGGCGAACTGGAGTGCCCATACCATCAGCAGTTTTATAATATACCTTGATGGTAAACGCATTAGTCGTTTGAGCTGGTAGTTCAGTGGAGAGCCTACCGTGTTGCCCCACCAGTGTTGCAAGCCCTCCCCAATCTAGTGGAATTGTATGAACGCTTGTCAGTATGTGTGGCAACCTTTTACTTACCGACCCATTTGCCGGATATTGCAATCTGTGCACCTCGATGAATGACAGCTAAAACTGTGATTAAGCGGACTTACACGAAAAATATGAAGATTATAGAAACAGCTAGCCCAGCATCCAGGGCTGCCGACAAGACATCTGCGTAGCTCTCATGAAATACGGCGTGAATACTGCCGCTAATCCACTTACAATTGTATTTCGTCCACCATGCAAAATTGCGCCTGCAGATTACATCAGGAAATGCTGCAGAGGTTTCCAAACGAGAAACAAACCTTCGTATTACATACTGGAAGATGAAACCTACAAGCCTGTGGTACATCAGTAAGTCAATGCACCACATGCCAAATGCTGTGCACATACGCCCACGGTACATAATTGAGCGCAGAAGCAGGGGGAATCTTGTAGGTGCCGTTAAATATAAGCGGACTATGGTGTATGATGCAATGCTGTCCGGAGGAATAAGATGATACTATGGGACTTACAAACTAGTCAGAGTGTTAATCAGTTATGAATTTGCGATCAAGATATGACCCACTTCACGTATCGTATTAAACTGTTTGGATACCGCTTCATCGCCAGCCAACCCACGACAGGGCTGACTGCTCCGATAATGAAGAACACCAATACGGCTAGAAGTGTGTTTGTAACGTTGCTACTGTTAAGCTATTGACGGGAACGTACAGCTGCAAGAGGACATTGAGTCCTAATAAGATCAAAGGTAAAGTGACGACTTACTGATATAATTGCCCAGAACTAAACAAACGTTCTGGGCCGATCACACCTGTTCGTCAGAGTGAATTCATCATCTTTCTCTCGGGGTACTAGACTAATAAACGCACCCCAGATGATGGATGCAGTGCCAAATACCTCCACGGTAGGACAGGTGAAACTGCACAATGTTGAGCATAGATGCCATACTAAACATTCGGACATACCCGTCTTTTTGAGTGGCACTACAAATGTCTCTACAAGATACTCAGCCCCACTAAACGATCAACAACATTAACGCTTACGGTATGTTAGAGAACATCCACGATTGAACACCCAGTTGCGCGGTTCCAGCGACTATCGCAGCTACAATCTGACACCAGAACATTTTTCGAGGAGGAATCTTCATGTAATGACCAAGTTTGAAGTCGGACGTAAATGTCAAGGCTTGAGACATAGACTACGAGAGTCAATACACCAAAAGGCTAGAGGATATGCGACACACAATATAGCCGAAGGTCTTGAACAGCATCATTGCTACTGGTTTTCCAGGTAGCGAATATCTAGATAGTAAGCTGTCAGATAGATTGAGGCCATGGACCAACGTGAACTTGCCCAATGATCAGCTCTGTGATCACGCTAGGGTATGTTTGAGTTGTGACAAGATTCCATCCGTGATCATGTGACGCACTTCAACCCAATTTGTTGATTGGTGATTGCCTGTATCATACCGCATGGAATTACATAGGTCAATGCTAAAGGGCATGTGGACGTTCAAATAACACTTTCAGGCAGATATTTCGAAGACTCACCAATCAAGAGCGCCACTACAAAAGCCCAAACCGGCATCTCTGTAGGCCAAATCTCGATGCTGACGACACCCAATGCAAACATGAGAGTGAATAGAGATAAGTACCACCTGAGTGGGGAATTGCTTTGAGTTATAACCCCTGTGGGAAAAGATTTTTTGTCATACCAATCGGGAACTTGTGGGTATCGACTCATAAGGCGAGCATGAATGTCTGCCTGTTCCCTGAGTGACCGTCGCGCTTGATACCAAATTTGCTTCCGAAAATGTATAAAGCAATGAACGATAGTTGCTAAGACATTTCTGTCAATCTGTGTCATAGCTGTAGTGCATACTTCCTTACCAGTGATAGAGGCAAATGAGAGACTGATGAAAAGGGGGTCTCTCAACAGAAGACAAAATCAATCGCCAATTAGTGAACTTACCCATAAGACATCACGAATGCTGTTCTGTTATCGAAGTGGGTATATCACCAGAGCTGAGAGTGTGATCACTTACGGAATAAATATTGGACTGTACTCCGTGTACGCTGTCGCGTTGAAAGTGCCTTCTGAAGTCAATATCCGGGTAACGTTGTATGTGTTCTGTGTATTGTCGAAGGAGGTCCTTGACGAAATACTAACAGAGATTGAGCTGACGTCATACAAGGAGAGACAGTAATCAGACGAACGGCATGTAAAGAGAATACCAGGTATTTTTAAACTACCGAGGTGTCAAATCCTCAGTCGTGAAATCTTTATGGATCACTGACGTATAATATAGGTGTTACTATCCCTAGAATGATGGTTCAATACTCAGTTTAAATAAATACATTGGACTCACAATAGAAAATTACAAAGCCAACGATAACGTTCGCCGTTGCCCACCCTGATGTTGACCAGAGTTAGACTGAACATTGAAGAGATAGTAGGAGGCTCACAAGGCATGGCTAGTGGTGATCCATTGTATCTGGGCAACCAAGCTTAGAAGGACGACAAAGTAGGAACAACCAAGTGCATACGCAATTTGGGCCCAGTCAAATGTTATCACGGACATTCCCTGATTCAAAATTCTCAAATCATGACAGGGACCAAGTAAACATTAACATACCATACCGTGGACGTAGCTAGTTTTGTCAGCGCATGGTGATAATTTTTTAGAGAACAAAAAAGACGTACCCAAAGAGCTGTGAAACAACTAGAGGTTCTGCGTGAGGGGCGGACCATGGATTGGTATCTGGAGACTCACCAGGATCGTGAGGCCAAATCCACGTGACCCAAGAGAACCACGAAAGGGACAAGACTGTGCAAACAATTGACAAAACAAAGTCGCTATAGGGAATATGCCTTACATAGGTAACCAGGGATAAAGTCTGGTACATCAAAAAGTTAGATTAGACAAGAATGGGGACTGGGTGAAATCCATACACCACAAGAATGCGCCTGTGAAAACATAGACGAAGAAGCGTCCTCGGCTTAAGCCGCCTAATCGCCCAATGCCCGCATACTGCTCGGAGTGAAGAGTATTGAAGAGTGCGCAGCTGACGAGAGTCATAGGCCAGATCATGCTCGGAGGCGACACAAGAAATCGTCGTGTGATTCCCCCGGTGGAGAAGCCAATGAGTTGTGATGACATCACCAAAAACCACTGATCTGGTGAGGAACAATTCATGAGCATACGTTTAATCTTGATAAGGTGATGTGGAAGACGAACAACCGAAATCGAATTTCTGGTTATAGAAAACTCTTTGCACAGCGATAATATCTGTCTGATTTTGGTGTTTTTAATGCATGCTTTGTGACACTTCGGGAAGGACTTACTGCGTAAGCAGATGTTGCGCCTACCGAAGCCATGATCTACCGTGGGTAGGTGATGATAAAACGAGGCCAACAGGGTTGTAAAGAGAGGACTCACTGTTATCAGCACATGCTCCTTGACAGTGAAGGGACCAGGATTTAGTGAAATCCCAAAGATTTTTTTTCGAGGAATATAAGCAGCACAGAAGCGGCCTATTGGAAACGAGAGTAGCTGAGCGACTATGCCAGTGATGGGCACGCTGGGATAGCGGAGGGAGAAAAACTGATTGACGCTAGGCATAATAATTGCCCAGGCCAAGCCTAAAACCCATGTACGAAGGGTTGTCACATGTATGGACGGATCATCTGTGTTTGCGACAGCGGACCGAACTTCTGGATAGGGTGACTCGTCGTCAAATTCTGGGCCATGTGAAGGGTCGAGGTTCGGGTCGTCAAAGGCCGCACTATCATCGATGGAATCCCGAGTCTGTGCAGTAGGATGTTTCATTTCAAGATTCAACATGATGCGCGGAAGGCAGACGTACAGTGAACGCAGAAGCTGAGAGCTCCGTTCGACTTTATAAACATGATATTTATAAGGTATTGTTACACAGCAAACTTACTCGAGCTGAGCGTTGCATATCATGATGGTCGTCAACCTGTTTGTCAGTGACCTCACTCCCGAGCCTGAGGTCGGCAGAGTTCTTGAGCGGCTTTGAGTCGAGTAGTTGTAAAGGGAATGCCGCAGATTCAGAGATGAAGTCCGTGGGCCTCGTCATAGATATACAGGAGTTGGACTATTGGAGAAGAGCGATTGTCTGACACGGGCTTGAGGATTTTCGCACCGGCGGTGTGACTATGAATTTCACCGATAGCACTGGTGCCAGCTGGAACCCTTGATTGGTGGTTGTAATTCGGTTCCGGATTCTACTAGTAGAGAGATTGAATCTTCCCACATGGTTAAAAACAAGTTGAGGGTGGCTGCGAGGTATATTACTTATCATATCATATATCTGTAGTACAATGCTTATTACTTAGCGAGTTCATACACTATCGACTTAGTACTGGCGTAGAATTGGCTCAGAAAGGTTCGGATAACCACCAATACAGGAAATCGCACCGTTAGCTGATGACTCCCACAAAGTAAATGCTTTGTGTGGCACACATTATAATATATATGTGGCCATATTATCGAAAAACTACACCGGATCCCACATAAGATCGTTCAGTGGTACCTGCAGGTCCTTGGCAAGTGCCCCGGCCACCCCAAATGAAATCCCACATTTATACATAGGCGGTCCCTCTAGTTTCTCGACAGCAGTCGTGCGATGCAGAGCACGCATGGACGTAAGCTCAGTAATCTTGGGAATGCAGGGTCAGACGAGATTGTCACGGGATCAGGCGTGGCACTTACAGCAGCGTAAATATGCACTCGCCCCAATTCCATGTCGGTGTGCTCCCCTGGAAGTTCAAAGCAGGGTTCGTGAGGCCGGTTCTCGACATCATTCTCCTCTAGGAGAGCACCAAGAATTGCGAGAAGTCTATCCAGTGGAAATACTACAGGGCCAAGTAATCTTTGTGTAATCTTTGATTTGCTTTTGAATTACATACAGTGTGAAATAAACATGGAAATACCTTTGCAACAGTTGTCTGCGCTCCAACCTTCTTTGGCGAGGCAGATTTCCGACGTCGCCTTTTCTGTTTATCTGCTCCGCGACCGAACATTCGCACGTCACTCTTGGCAGGATTCGTCGAAGCCAGGAACGCTGCGAGTAAGATGAACTTGGACATCCGCGGTAGGTGGTCAACAATGATGCTCCCTTCCGTGTTTATTTGAGATTGTGCCTCCTCTGACGCTTGCATGTCAGGGTCATTGGCTAACGCCCAGTCCGCAGCATTAGTCAAGCGTGGATAGAGTACATCGAGTGCCGCCGTCAGAGAAGGGGTGAAGAACTTGAGCAGTCTCATGCGGCCGTCGGAAGCGGGGAGTGTCAGTTCATTACGTGTTCCGTCTGGATCTGGGTCCCCGCCCCCATTAACTTCGCTTTGCTCCTGCAGTACAGGCTTAACAAACCCAGGCCATCGTGCAGCGGCAATATACTGCAGTTCTCGGATATCGGTTGTGTAGAGAGAGCAAACATTGTAGACGTGTTCCACATATTGTTCATACAATGGCAGCAGCGATGGATGATATGTCCTATCTTGTGTGCCTGCACTTGGCTGTGTTGTAGACGTAGAACGGAATTCAAAAAGAAGGCTGTCAATTGTATCTGAAAAGACACCAATGACCCTGAGATCATACTAATTGGATACGCATGATTGGATACTTTACCTTGTTTGCTTGGAGGACCAATATCAATGAAGTAAGGATCTGGGGATGCGCCAAGAGGTGGCTTGATATCCTCCCATCGCACAGAGGATAGAAAGATGGTCGTTATCTTCACCTGTGACTGCAAGCACATATTGTCAGTCAATGTTTGCCCTTGAGATGTGAGACACACGGTTTGGCAAAAATGAGATCAGACCACTCACCAATTCTGCGAGACGTGTCAGAGGAACGATAAGGTCCGGGAGGTTGTCCTTCAGCCTTTCAGCCCTCTCGATGAGGAGCACCATGTTCGGTTCCTCATCTACAGTTCTACCATTTCCTTTAGCCTTTCCTTCCCAGGATTTGTTGCGTATATTCCGGAGTCCATGTAAAAAGCTATCAATACTGTCGTTGTATCTTTTCCCATCCTCACCAGGCCAATTTTGACACCCATTCTCCCAGGCCACTTCCCATCTTGCGAGTGCGTTGAGTACGGTGTCATACAACAACCGTGCTGTAAAGCAAGCAGTCGCGTTTATGTGCGCAAAATGTGTAGGAGAACAGTCTCCACTGTTACGGCAAATTTGATTGAGCAGTGAGGCAGTGATGCGCGGATCGCGGCGGTCGGTAATGTACAAGAATGGGAGGACGAAGGTTGATGTGACACTCGTGATATGTGAGGTGAACTTTTCATAGCCAGGAAATTGGTCAGAGAGCTGAGACAGTGAGTCGGTTTCATCCAAGTCCATTGCTATGCAACAAACACTCTGGGAGATGTGTCACAAGCAGCGTTGATAGCAAATGCAATACTACTTCGGTAAATGATAGTCGTTTGGTCTTGTTGAATTCAAAGGCTGCTACATTGACCGGTAACCTACCGGTTATCCACCCGAACCTGGCAGGCTATCTAACAAGTTTCGCATGAATGCACTAATTTCGGAGATGAAATGCGCGTATCATGAAGGGATAAGGATGGCCAGAAGGACGGCAAGTCGGGATGCCAACCATATATAAGTAGTACACCATATCTACTATAACAGGCTATATACTGCTCATGAATCATGCGCGAATGTCTCAATCTACCCGGTGTACCATGTGAGCTCTATGTATACTAGGGCAGAGCGTGCACAGAGCTGAGGGGGACTGTATCTGTGATAGTTGGAGGTTGGTCCGAGGTGTATGATCACGATGTTGTGGAGCATAGAGCAAACTGGTCATCTTCTCATTTCTGCATTGAATACCGGTATCTGTCCCATGCTACCCCTGCTTCAAAGACGTTCGATAGCCAATTGCATAAATCAAAGATCAACGATTTTCACGCAGCCGCAGACATAGTAACTTCTGTCGCCTGCTCTGAATCAGCATACAACTGAACGGTCTGCTCTGGCTTTCCTATTCGTTCATTGTCGGTCCCCTCTGTGCAGTCGGATACAGTCCCTGAGAATGCTAAGGTTGTATGTATTGCGGGAGTTCGGGTCGACCACTCGCGTGTGACTGCCCGCCCCTGTGCAACACGAATGATGATGAACAACTGGGCAATGCCCTGGAATAGCTAGCATCAGAGACGCAGCTAACCAGAATTTGTTTGCTTACCTGTATTTTGCCGATAGACATGAAACATAGAGTGGTGAGACCGTTAGAATACATGGCGAAGGCAACTATAAAAACAATAGCGAAGACAGTGTATAGTGCTGCGGACTCGATAACCATGAGGGCGATGGTATTGTATGCGCTTGAATCATACTGGGCTATGACCTGTCTCATACGCCCTCGCATGACGAACAAGCGATTTATCACCAGAACGGTATAGATCACGGTGAGCCCTACTTCGACACAGAGGTAGGCAAGCTCCATGATAATGTTGTAAAATTTGACACCACTGCCCGCCTCGACCAGGACGACAATGGAGAATGCTGCGCAAGATGTCAGTGATGGGTGTCGCTTGGTGAATGATAGATTGTACCGATCATAGTAACATAGAGTAAGATCATTGGGACCACCACCCATCTTGACCAATCCCATATCACAAAACATCGGTGGAGCTAAGATTTTTAAGCATGAGGTTTGTAGCGGACGATCTGGGGAACTAATTGGCTCACGAGCAGAGCTTGCATGAACCACTCCTGGAGGTGACCGCTAGACGGGGCGTCGACATTAGAGATCCGGAGGTGAATGGGCAAGGACACTCACGTGGCAAGCGCTATAAAGTTGATACGATAACTCATGTAGTCCTCAATTAGTGCGAGCGGACCACCAGGCGCATCACGAAGATCAATCCAGATCATCTCCGTATATCTTGCGTTCATACCAAAGCTTATCGTTCCCAATACGAATGTAATAAAGACGTAGAGAAGAAGTATGTGACGATGATCTGCTATTTTCCCTCCGTGTCGAGGCCGTTGCATGAGAGCAATCCAGGCTTGCACTGTAAGGATAAAAAATATGCCTATTGCGATACATAAGTCAACTTCCGGCGCGTCGCGTGTCAACCGAGAGCATACCGTAGCACACACACAAGAACATCATTCCATCAAGGCGAAATCTTTCTATGGAGAGATTTGTCTGCGGGGTATAGGATGACATGGCCGCAAAATAGTTCACCAAAGGAGGGTGATTAAGACGAAATAGATGTTCGAGCGTCCAGGCTGTGCCCTATCCACCGGAAGATGTTGGAGACAACGAGTGGACGGTCGCAAGGGATGGGCAGGGAAGATACAAAGGTTATATGGGGAACCTAAAATAAAAATTCCGCTAGGGAGATATAAAAATTGGCAGCCACGCGCAGGAAGTTTAAAGCTGAGGATGTCACTCACACAGTGATAAAAATTGACATCGAGACCCCACGGTGGGACTAAGATGGCATAATCGAAGGTGAAGCGCTGCTTGATTCCCTATATGTATATGTTGTCGTTAATTTCAAGGCTGGGCAATTATAAACGTCAAATTCAACCCTGTATTATTTGCAGGATGGACGGCGAAGTGACAGCAGCCTGATAGGGGGACAAAGAACCGAAGAAGTTCTCGTAATATGATGTGATGTGCCCAGACGAGTCTGTGCGAGGGAGTCGATTGCAATGAGACTGAGTACTAGTGCAGAATGCATGTCAAAAGAAATGCTACACTTTCCTGCTTATTTTGGCAAGCTCGGAGAGCTGAGCCAGTTTTTGACATGAGGCGTAGATTTATACCGGACGGCGCTCACACGCTACTTACGTAATCGTTGCTTTTGCACACGCCCTCACGTGATTGTCTGCTAATACCCAACGGCTTTGTGCGTTACGCCATCACCATGGTTACCAACCTTTTCGTGTCTCGAGTGGGTATTGCGAGATATATATACCTAGTTCTGGGTGTTATTCTAGTTTTAGGGTCGTGGATCCCTGCGCTCCGAGTCGTTTCTCCGCAACTGAGCTCGTTACCATCCTTCGTCCATTCTCGTGTGCATTGGAAAGAAGGAGATCACAGCGAGGTTTCGTGTTCTACCAAGAACTTCACAACGTTATTCTCCCCCTCATCGACGCAGCTGGGTATCGCTTCTGAGGTATATCTCATATCTCTGCCCTGGCGACAAGACCGACGAAAACAGATGGGACATTTGCAAGCATCCAAAGAAATCAGTTGGACGGTTGTTGATGCACTCGACCCTTCAGATATCACTATTGGTCATATTTTCGAGCAGATCGTCTCTCAGCGTTCGCTGCAGCCCTCCAAAGGACCCTTGGACGACTTGGAATCAATCTTCCGTTGGCCCGCTGATATCAACGCCATTGCTTCTTCCACAGAGTACTTTGGAGCTTCTGGTTCCGACCTCTGGACCTCTGCGGACACTCAAAATAGCAGACATACCACCTTGTCCTCTCTTAGTGTTTCGCACCATCCAAATGTCACGTGTGCAACTCAAGATAACTCTGTACCGCCTTTCAACCCTAGCCTTCCGGACTGGATGATCCTCACTGCGCCAAAGATCTCATGCTGGTATTCTCATGTCTCTGCTATTCGCCAGTTCATCAATAGAGTGAATACCACTCCAGAGGATGTCGCGGTTTTCTTGGAAGACGATATCGACATGGAAAGGGACATCGAGATAAGGATGCGTCATATCTGGCCCTCTCTCCCACATGGCTGGGACATGGTTTTTCTGGGTAAGCGCCGGTGCTACATTGTTCGCGATGGATGCTGTATTGTGTTCCTCAGGTCACTGCTGGTCAAATGAGTCCTTCTACTCTGCACTTCCATCGCCTCAGGTCATGTCTCCGTTATATGACCTGCCAACACGGTCACACATACACCCATCTTACTCTCCACGTTGTACTCATGCTTACGCACTTTCCCTGTCCGGTGCTCGGCGTCTTCTGCAGCATCTTCGCTACCCACCGTTCGCGTATTCTCGAGCTCTTGATCAAGCTTTCAGTTGGCTTATCGAAAGTGGCCGATTACGTGCTTTCAGCATCGTTCCGAGCGTCGTCATTCAGCGTAAAGTCCTGTCGAGCGACATATTTCCCGGATCTGGTGTAGGGAGTGCGTGGAGAGAGCATTTAGTGAACGGCGTGTTCGGAACATAGAACAAACGCCACTTTGTCGCCCTTTTTGTTGATCTGTCCTCTGTATCGCAAGTCGTTTGTATCGATCTGATTTCTGTCTCACTCCATGTTTACACCTTTAAACTACTGGAGCTACTTCTACTCCGCACTTCAAAATGAGGGAAACCAGAATCACTGGTGTACAGTCAACGCCCCACAACATGTATTCAAAAATCTTGAGCGGTACGCAGGTCACAATTTCTTCCCACTGCCTCGACAACGACGCCTGCAGTTGACATCCCAATCTTTCCTAATTGCGCATTGCATGCATGCCTCATGTAGAATTTCTCGTGAAGGCGTATGAGAGCTTCGCCAAGTTCTTTTCTGCCGGTCTGTGTTGCGCCTATACCCTAGATATGATTGGTCGGTGAATCCTATTTATGCTCTCGCGGGACAAGAAACTCGAGCCCCCGTCGACGGACCTTAGCAACAACAGCCATATGCTACCAGTCGAAATCGCTAAATCGAGCATGCCGCACACTGATGTATCTCATGTGTGATGATCCTTCTTACGTTTGTTACAGTTGCAACTTCATATGACTTGAAATTAGGAACGGAGAGGTTAAGAGCGGAGTGTTCTCCGTATTATTTGCGGCCAACAAGAACAATAATACTGTATCGCTGCCAGCAGGATTCATAATTCGTGAGTTATCGCGATCCATGCCTTACTTCGGTCGCTGCTCATTTGTCTAGCGTTATCGCCGTGCATATCGACTGCTGTTCCGTATCTGCTCCCCGTAATACCAAAATATACAGGGTCTGGGTCGTAATCATGAAGGGTGACAACGGAAGGAAGAAGAACGAATACGTACGCAGGACAGCCTATGACGATTGCCACGACCCCCAGAATAGTATCGCCCTTCCCAAACCCAAGTGTGATGTACATCACTGGAGCAAACAGGAGACAGCGGCCAGCGCTGAATGCGAAAATTTTGAGATGAGAAATGGGAAAGAGATAATACGTACCGGAAGCAGCATCATGTGAAGCGTAAAACAATCAACAATGTATGCCTGGATACACTGGAAACTCAAAATGATGCCTGCTCCTACAAGCGCAATACCCTGTGGAAATCGTTATCAAAAAACAATACCGGGAAGATCAAGCTAACATTATCTGAGGCAATCCAATTAGTTTCAGAAGTTCCAGCCTACGATCGAACACCCTATTGGAAGTAGCACGGATTCGGGAACCACCGTAGCTGTTGGTGATATTATATGAGCACTTAAGAAACGAGGCAATAAAACAAAATAACGAACGCAATCGGAACTCCGGCTTCGCAACTCCACCGTTCTTATTTTTGAAATGAACGTAAATCTTGTACATCGCTCTCGGGGCAAAGAGTGCAAAGGGGCGGCTAAGAGATTTGGCCATGATGGTCCGCCGACTATATAAATCATGTCCTCAGATATCATCTCACAGGAATTTAAGAGAACTTACCGATGGTCTTGACTTTCGAAAACGGTACGGATTTCTCTATACGGCATTTTTTCGACATCCATAGATCTGCCAATCCGCTCTGCCTTCCTTTCTAATAAGAGGGGCGCATAGGACCACCCATCTCCAGGTCGACCGTTCAGCTCACAATTCAGATAGTGACATTAAACCTGAGATGGCTACTAACCAGGCGCCTACGATAGGTCCCAGGACGGGACCCAATAACGGTGCTAAAGGTGTAAATGCTAACAGCCTTCCCTCGTTCATTTAACCGCCAGCAACTGACAGCAGTCCCCAAGAAAGCCGCCGCCAATCTGAAGAGGGAAGTTATTCAGAAACAATATGTTCTAGTTAAAAAATAAAACCTTACCGACATGGGCGCGCTGCTTCCGAGGCCAGTAAAAATCGGAAGGCGAGAAGCTGGGATTCTAACTGTGCTCATCCACAGGCAAGATTCCATACTAACATTTTAAGAATGGGGGTGAGATGATGGGTTGACTTGTAAAGGTCACATACCGATGTACCATAGATTTGCCAATTGCAAAACGCGTGACCGTCCGTAAATCCCGCTCAATGGACCTAGAAACAAAGATCCCGTCCCTGGTTAGGCTCGTGACCAGCCTGGCGTAGACTACCACGGATACTTGAGTGGTGTAGCCAGGCTGGTCGATCTCGGAGTGGCGTGGCAGGGCAGGGCGAAGCGAGGAGTTTGAAATTCGATAGGTGCCGGTCGTGCTGGAGGTAGTTCCAATCATATAGCACAAGTGATGCGTCAGCTCTCGCTCAGACTGTACGCTATGTTAGGCCTTTAGGTTTCAACCATGTTTCCTTCCTCGTCGAGTCTGGAAGGCAAGCCAAAGGTTCAGGCTGCTTATACATCATCATGGGTGGGTATAATGCATGAATTGGAACCATTTTAATTGTCCTAATCAATGATTAGTGCTCCGGCGCGATGTACTGTTGTATTTGAGGATACTGTACTTTTCACGGTACGAACGTTACCCAAAGCGGCATACCGGCATCTCCCAAATTTCAAACTCCTCGCTTCGCCTGCCAAATCACTCCGAGATCGACTAGTCTGACTAACGTCGTCAATACATTCTCACCATTTCAAATTGATGTAGTCAGACTGGTTACGAGTCTAAGATCAGTACTAGTGTGATATCCAGCATCCACCTTTAAATTGGCCTACCATGGAAGCACATACATGGGTGTTGTGAGTGCTACATAGTATAGCTCCGTCATTAATTTCGAAGGCAGACGCTACTTCGCTAGTAGCAGGCGCGATCATAGAGGAAGAAACTGAGCTAATGAAAGTAAACAATGATACAATTATTGTTGCGGTCCATTTGCGTCTTACGCGCCAAACCCCACCCTGCGCATCAGCACTTTAACTGTCTGTGTAACTTAGGTATACTATTTTCAATGATTGATTTTCTAACAGTGTTTCCTTTCATTGTAACAGAAGTTTTAGGTGAGTGATCTATATTTTGTAGATCTATCCTTCCCACTCACACGCACTGCGCAGTGTCCCTCCTATACCTCGACCTCGACATCTCATTCGAGGCACCCTGCACCACTCCTCATTCACAATCCGACCCCCACATCTCGGCCCATCTCCCGCAGCCACTCCTTCTCCCATTCTGGCGCCTTCGGGTGCCGTTCGCACATGTTCAGGCCACGTCAGCATTCGCTGACGTGTGCTAGGCATGTGCGCTAAGCACCGATGGCTGTTGGGATTGGGTGGAGGTAGTACATGCTTGCATACCCATGCGTATAACCTTCATGCGTATAACCTTCATGGGTATGTACCCTTGGCGGATACGGGTACGGGTTGACCTCAGGAAACCCGCGGGTTTACCCGTGCGTATTCCTATCTACAGCACTGGTATCTCCCTTCAATGCTCACTCAAATGCTCACAGTTATTGACGCCGCGCGCGAAACTTTGACATTGATGGATCAAGTCCATCAATTGATCAATTTCACGCTTCATTTCTCCTCAAGCAGACCCCTACACATGGCCTCATTACAAACTTTAAAGCCGCCATAACTCAACAACCCTTCATCCGTGGTGCGTCGTTGACTCGTGCATCTTACTTCTCCAAGTTCGATATGCGTTGGCAGCACGAACCATATCATCTGCATATGGTGATGAAGATACGACATAGCGTATCTACACAATTGATTATATTCCTTTTAAACGAAGACAAAATTGTATAACCGTGCGTGATTCAAGTTCTTGAGATCATAAAATCATTCTTCAGTAATTTCCGCTGACACGACTTCGTATGGATAAGGTCAGCCTATGTAAGTGCGGATCGAAGTTGAGGTCTGCTGGCAATGCAGATAGCAAGGGGATCATATATTACCATGAAGTTCTGCCACGACAAAATTCAGCACATAAAAGTGAGCCGTTTTTCTTCTGTCCCCCTCAGATTGATTTGATCCCATATCACGTACTCACAAACAATGCATTTCTCCTTTATTCTCACTATTGTTGCTGCTCTGACGGTAACAGTATCTGCCAGTGACGCTGATGGTAGATGTCCCAATCTTTGCAATGAGGTCAGCTGCTGCACTGGTCAGAAGTGCGTGCCGACATTCGTCCAAGCGCTTGTGAGTATCAGCAGTTTATGTCCTGAATTCGTCCACAATACTCACCAACGTGATAGAATACAGTCGTCGATTATTGTGAACCTGAGTGAGTTAGTAGTATGTCACAACAGTGAATTACAGTGAGTCGTATTTCTGCTTTCGCATTGGTGTAGTATGATTGATGGCACGACGCGTGGGCACTAGTTCGTTGCAGAGTTGATCGATTGTATTTGCTTCTGAACAAGTTTCGCTGAGCAATGGAGATCTTGAAACAAACAGTTGAATACATACGAATTATGCAACTGGTGTAATGAGAACATTTTAAACTCCGCGCATTTGCTTTTGATTCCGAGTCCTACCAGGAAAACTTATTTCGCTCCAGGCCTGACTAGTGACTCCTCTCTGCAGCAAAGTAAGTATGATGCCAGACATGCACAACGCACAAGCACTATTTGATACCTATTTTTCGGTTCCATCTGATCCCAATATTGGTCTGTGTCTATCGCGGTTCTTTTTAATAGCCTCTGGGCGAAGTTTCTCATCAACTGGAGTCATCGCACATTCATGAAGCATGTAGCATCACCACACCTGCTCGTGGCTTTCGTTCCGCGTTCCTGTTCCTTCTCTATTGTTGTTTCTTTGTACAACCGATCTCTTTCCTTGTCTTTATATGCCCGCTTATCGCCTCCCCCGTTCCCCATCTTTGGCCAACTATCTACCTTTGTAGGACTGCCCTCGTCACTATACAAGCCGATCGTGTCTCAGTGACCGGGAATTGGGAACAACGCATGTATGCACTTTTGGTCCGCATCTGTAATGATCCTCATATACATGAACCAAAGGAAACGGTTCGGTTACCCGCACCTGACGTAACAAAACAGAACAGCTGTCCCTCCCTCTATTTGGTTCGCAGGCATAAGTACTACTATACAAGCTACTGACACCCATACTAATTTTTCATCGGTAACAAAGCTATCTACCGCATAAGCGTCCTTGTGACAATGTAGCTCGATGAAGACATCCATGAGCGCTATAGGTCGCATGGAGTGACCGAGGATCAATCAAGGATACGACCGACTTTAGGAATATCATTGACCGTTTCTGATAGAACGTAACCAAGCCATTTGTTAAGAGATTCGCATTTTGGACCATTGAGGCAGAAGGACTACTGAATTCTACGTGTATGCTAACAAAGGCAAGAATAGATACCATCCCTCAATCTCACTTCGGCGATGCAAGCACTTGAATATGGTATATCTAACATGAATACCTTCATCATACGTCCTCCCAAGTTCCCCCACTCGTCTACTTCCATTCTCTGGTAATATGACCCTAACAGTCTCAGATGATCCCAGTTGGTCCGGGCCACTCCTAGATCCACATCGCATAAGCAGCTATTTTGTAGGTTCGTGGACAGCCAGTGGGATCATGACAATGACGACTCAATCTGACCTTGCTCACGGTGTCGCAGTTGCCTCCTTTGTTTGTGTAATGTACGACTGGGGTGAGCAAGAACGTGTATAAAAAAACCACTGACGGCCTTAGGTATTGTCAGCACTCACGTTCGGACAAGAGGTCAGGTTGATGCCATTATTAGAGTAGCCATCCCGCTAACGATGATTTACAGGTTGAGTTGATCTGGGTGGGTAGCCTCTTGTATCGAAAGAGCGACGTGAAAATTCAACTATTTTGCGGCAGAGTCGACACTGGTCCCTGATGACCGTTATGTACCTTGGTGTATGTAACTCGTGACAAAAATATGGTTGGCAAGTCGTGAAACTAACTTCGAAATATCCTAGGTGCGCTACACCGGAATGATATATGCCATGTACGTTTCGGAGGATATGCAATCGGCGTTGTGCTAAATAGCCATCGTTCACGACCAGCATCTGTGTTCTGGGTTTGTCTCTTCATATTTCAATGTCGTCGTGTGTGTTCTGACCGAGGGCATGCAGTTTACGTTCCGACAATTTCGGTAACCGATACAGTGAGTATTCTTCGTGAACCCTACTAGTCATTCTCGTTCAACCAACACATTGCCATGTAGGGGTGAGTGAGATTCTCGAAAAGCTTGTTAGATCAAGATAATGACTTCCGTAGTTGTGAGTTTCTTTAAAATGTCTGCTCCTCCAAGACTAGTAACTTATATTACTTGATTTGTCAGGCCATATCATGTCCGACGCAATAGAATACATTAATGATGTCGCAAATATAATGCTGGGTGGTGAGCTATGCATTTTTGTGATATTGACTTGACTGAAACATCAGGCAAGTCATCATGATCGTTCGGTTATATGCCATGTACCAGAGATCCAGACGTATGCTGATATTTCTCGTCGTCGTCTTCCTGGCTATAAGAATCGCCATCGGAGTGATGATCGCAATAATGGTGAGCCATTTTGTAGCCGGTAAGCATTGATTGTGGATGAAACATTCAAGTGCACCTGGCTTATTGGCAAATGCCAGAGGAACGCGTTCTTTCTGGTAATTATGAATGCACTGTTGCTTTTAGGGCCCCAGGGGAAGTGTCCTACGAGTTTTGGACTACACCACTTGGATACTCCTCACTGCATGGGAGGTCCTCACACTTTGCCTCGCAGTCTGGATAGCTCTAAAACACTTCCGTGAAAAGCGGCAACAATCATCAGAAGGAATAATCATGGACTGTTTCGCGGTTTTGATGAAAACTCACGTCACTTACTTTGCGAGGTGAGTTCACAATCTGAATACACACTTTTTCTCGCTAATTCAAATCTGCACCATCGCTAGTTTTGTCGCTCTTACTTGCATCGAGCTCATCGGTTATCTTTCTCCGAAGATCTCAGTGGTACGTCGACCTATTCTGACCTTTGCATGCAACCCCGATTCATCACTGTCATAGTCCCCATCTTCCACGAAGACTCAAACTTATAGTGGTTTCTCTGAAATATTTATGCTCACGCAGATGTTTGTACTGGGACCACGCCTAATCCTAAGCATTCGAGAATATCATGCTAGGCTTGTGGCACAATCCGACGCAGCAACTGCTGTGACTTCAATCAATTTCCAGGAGAGCGTCAGTGTCAACTAGCAGTACTATGTGAAACGGGAGAAAGATTCTCGATATGAATTCGGTTCATGTTTATTCAAAATTTCGTCTTGGTACCTAAATATCTAACTTATTGGATGTACGGCAGTTAATTTGAAATGGAAATTGGATCTGGGATCCTAGACACTACCTCAACGGAACGAGGGAAATGTATTCCGCTTACTGCTCATCTGTCGTCGTTGTCATGAGTATTACCATATCATCAAAGTCTCATGAAAAGAAGCTTGTTCTGAGAGTAAACGTGCTAACATGCAGGCAGATGAGTTTCTACATTCCTGTAACCACTGAAACTTTGACAACCGAGAAATAAAGTACCGCGACTCGCTCCTGAAGACATAGATGATTGTTTTACGAGATAAAATACACTTGGATGGAACGTGTGATAGATCGAGCTCAGCTCAGTACGCGCATGTAGTGACACACGAGAGATCACTTAAACTGGGCCCTGGTCAGGTCCACGCAATCGATACCCAAGTCTTCGGCAATGATCATTGCAGCCCGCTCTCCGATGAGAAGTGCCGTCGAATACGTGTTCTGTATATATCATTAGATCGCACATCACAATACCCTGTTCAGTACCCACCGTGCCAACGTTCAATGGAGAAATGGACATATCTGCGACCTTCAGGTTTGACACACCATATACATTCAGCCGAGCGTCGACAACTCCTTGATCTGCCTCTGGTTTCATGGCACAAGTCCCAAGCTACAAATACAAATATCAGATATGAAATTATGGAAGGTTTAGCTGCACACACCGGGTGCCATGCCGTTTGCACTGATGTTAATTCAGTGTTTCACCGTGAAAATAGAGATGGCAAGTCGAGACTTACCGACGTCGCGGTGGAATTGATTGATCGCCTCGTCATCTTCGGCAGTGTAGACAATGTCAGGTGCATTTATGTCCACTGGCCCAGACGCTTCTCTGCAAGCTGCAGCGCTTCCCTCTGGGAAATCAGGATGGTCAGCAGCGACTTCACCTCGATAGGAAGCCATGCGTCGAAATATTTCGCGTGTCTTTTTGTACCCGAAGTCGAGAGGAACAATGTCGGATGAACTGTGCGGAGTATCAAGTATCAGAGTTATACAAGTGCCCTAAAATGAAATGTGTCCACTCACTCATCTAGAAAGCCTGTGGTGAAGTCCATTCCTTCTTTGTTATTCTCTGTTACATTGATATGAACGCTCCCAACAGACACGGGGTAAAGCTATCGAAGAGATTCAGAAAAAACCATGGGGTAGACAGAAAGCAGTACTGTATAATAACTGGCGGTCATGTAGTTACGAGGAAGGATACTCGAGAGAGGCCTCGAGAGCTGTGGAGCATATCTAACTGTTATGAGTATTTCCATATCATCAAAGTCAAGCAATCACCCACCCCGCAATAGCAGCAAATATTGCAACAGCCTTGTCTGAGCGGTCCTGGAAGAATTCCTTCCAGCGTGGTTGAAAAACTGGACCCATGGCTTTCAATTCCTCATCATCAGGACGCCACTTGATTTTGGAATCGAGGCCGCTGAGATACCGATCAGCACAATACCAGCAGTGATGACTTGCACTAACTTTTGTGCAATCAATGACTTTCCGCTGCTGTTCCATTTTGCAAGACTTTCTACATTTGGGTAGTTGTAAATTGCTGGAATCATAGGGAGAGAGAACATGCTTACCCTGTACAATACTCTCCCCGCGCCAGAGAGCGTCCATGGTAACAACCTCGTCGGCAGCCAAGTATGGAACCAAGACCATATTGTGATCTGACCGTCCTAAGTCAAGCTCATAGGATAGATAGATAAATGTGCACCTCGATAATTTTCTCCGACGCCAGGCAAATTCACCAATTGCTGGATGCCGCATCGCTTGAGAACCGCCTCGGCACCGATCCCAGACCTCTCCAGAATGGTCGGGGAACCGAATGCTCCACCACAGATAACAACGAGCTTCAATGCTCTCGCAATACTCGACGACTGATCCGCGTCTGGACAAGATACTGGGTCACTGGTGAACTCGACACCGACGGCACGCTTGTCTCTTTCATTTGTAAAAGACGTCAATGGGTTTGTTGCAACTACGATCTCAGGTACCCACTTACTCAAAGACGATACGCTTCACTCGCTTTCCGTCCCAGACTTGTAAATTTGGATTGTGAGCTTGGTTGTAGACATAGTGGTGAGCCGCGTCCGAACGCCTTCCGGTTGTCCCGTCAATATACCTTTTATACATGAGCTAAAAATTAGCAAAGCCTACGGGTGCAGGAACTCACTTCCTACATGGCTAAGACAAATCAGATTAGTGATCGCCATTAGGGAAGAAACACGATAGCTCACACTGTATGTATTGCATGTTTCCAAATCATTGGTGTCGTCGGCATAGCGCCTCTTGTGATAAGTCGTGCCGACCTGAATGAACTCGTCGGAGACACCTACTTCACATCCACCAGAGGACACCTTGATAGGTCCATTATAGCCGTGAGTTGGACTACCGGGCTGCACTTCGTATGTCTCTAGCTATAAATTGAAAGTGTAAGTGATTCGAACAAATATTTGGAAAACGCATTCGAGACCTTCTTCATGAGGGGAATCAAATTTTCAGATTCCCAGCCATTGACTCCCCAATCATCATAGTCTGAAGCAGGTGCACGAGTGTATACCATGACTGTCTCATCATCAGAGTCGTATTCATCGTTACAAGTATGCTACGCACGATTCACACACGAACATCCACCAACGCAACGACCGGAGGGAACGACTGGTGCACGGCCATTGAGACGAGGAGATGGATTTCCGATGTTGAATGTGACCGTGGTGCTCGTCGTTGCTTGGTTAAAGGGATATTGGTAGGGTTGTACATGAATAGGTTTGTTGAGGGTGTGTTGGCCCGCTTCCAGAATCAAGATCCTCAGCGAGGGATCACATGCAGCTAAGCGACCTGCAACAACACAGGCTGTAGTACCACCTATACATAATGTGTGTGTGAAGAGGGAAAACCACCACAAGAGAATATTTCCTCACCTCCAGCAAAAACGATATCGAATTCTGACAGGATTGGATGAGACATTGATAAGCAGGGTTACTTTCAGGCCGCCATTCACTAATACTTCATCTTATAACCTCACCCAGGTGAAATACCAACATTACGCCCACGGGCCACGGGGCCAAGTTGCAACGTACGCTACGAATCATATGACCAAGACTGCGATGAATTGCAAGAACGACTGCTTTCGTTAGGCCACGTCGACCTGAGCATGCGAAAAACGGGGGTGCGGGTCAAACATAAAATTTAAAATTCAAAATACAGGGTACCTCAGCGCAGATCCACAAGGCAATGTCTTGCACCCGCCGTACTTGCTACCGTGCAGTAACCGCACTATCCAATCACGAACAAGCCGTTAGTACGCCATGCCCTCATCCGTGCCATGATTCTGTTCGCAAATAGACACAGTGACAGTGAAGTATGAGAGATGAATGTTGAAGTGCTGGAACATGACCTCGCTGATTCTGGTTGCCATAAGATTATTGTCAAAGCCTAACGCAGAAAGAATCATGATGCCTGTCCATTTGGGGAAAAAAGCGGAAAAAATGATTCGGCGGCCTCCGGTATAGATAGTATGTGTCTACGTAACATTGCATTCGAATTCGGGTAGTACGTCGTGTCAGAAAGGCGACTGGACGATAGACTTTTGAGAGTATCATATCATCAAAGCCTCATGAAAAGAAGAAGCTTGTTCTGAGAGTAAACGTGCTAACATTCAGACAGATGAGTTTCTACATTCCTGTAACCACTGAAACTTTGACAAAGTACCGCGACTCGTTCCTGAAGACATGATGATCGTGTGGTGTTTTACAAGGTAAAATACACTTGGATGGAACGTGTGAGAGATTGAGCTCGGCTCAGTACGCGCATCTAGTCGCCGATGTGACACACGAGAACATCAGCGGGTTGGATTGTGTTACAGAATGCTACAGAGCGCTCTGTAGCACTCTGTAATGAATTACGTTTCCCTGATGAAATCACCTAAACCCTAGTCAGGTCCACGCAATTGATACCCAAGTCTTCGGCAATAATCATTGCAGCCCGCTCTCCGATGAGAAGTGCCGTCGAATACGTGTTCTGTATATATCATTAGATCGCACATCACAATCCCCTGTTCAGTACCCACCGTGCCAACATTCAATGGCGAAATGGACATATCTGCGACCTTCAGGTTTGACACACCATATACATTTAGCCGAGCATCGACGACTCCCCGATCCTCCTCTGGTTTCATGGCACATGTCCCAAGCTACAAATACAAAGATCAGATATGAAATCATGGAAGGTCTAGCTGCACACACCGAGTGCCATGCCGTTTGCACTAATGTTCAATTCAGTACTTCACCGTGGAAATGGAGATGGCGCAAGTCGGGACTTACCGACGTCGCGGTGGAATTGACTGATCGCCTCGTCATCTTCGGCAGTGTAGACAATGTCAGGTGCATTTATGTCCACCGGACCGGATGCTTCTCTGCAGGCTGCAGCGCTTCCCTCTGGGAAATCAGGATGGCCAGCAGCGATTTCACCTCGATAGGAAGCCATGCGTCGAAATATTTCGCGTGTTTTTTTGTACATGAAGTCAAGAGGAACAATATCAGATGAACTGTGCGGAGTATCATAGTTACACAAAGTGTCCTAAAATGAAATGTGTCCACTCACTCATCTAGAAAGCCTGTAGTAAAGTCTATTCCTTCTTTGTCGTTCTCTACTACATTGATATGAACGCTCCCAACAGACACCGGATAAAGCTATTGAAGAGATTCAGAAAAAAACCATGGGATAGACGGAGAGCAATACTGTAAAATAACCGGCGGTTATGTAGTTGCGAGGAGGAAGGATGAGAGGCCTCGAGAGTTGTGCACCATATCTAATTGTTATGAGTATTTCCATATCATCAAAGTCAGGCAATATACACCCACCCCGCAAGAGCACCAAATATTGCAACAGCCTTGTCTGGGCGGTCCTGGAAGAACTCCTTCCAGTGTGGTTGAAAAATTGGACCCATGGCTTTCAATTCCTCATTATCAGGACGCCACTTGATTGTTGAATCGATGCCACTGAGATACCAATAAGCACAATACCAGCAGTGATGACTTGCACTAACTTTTGTGCAATTAATGACTTTCCGCTGCTGTTCCATTGTGCAAGACTTTCTACATTTGGGTAGTTGTAAATTGCTGAAATCATAGGGGGAACATGCTTACCCTGTACAATACTCTCCCCGCGCCAGAGAGCGTCCATGGTAACAGCCTCGTCGGCAGCCAGGTATGGAACAAAGGCGATATTGTGATCTGACCATCCTAAGTCAAGCTCATAGAATAGATAGATAAATGTGCACCTCGATAATTTTCTCCGACGCCAGGCAAATTCACCAATTGCTGGATGCCGCATCGCTTGAGAACCGCCTCGGCACCGATCCCAGACCTCTCCAGAATGGTCGGGGAACCGAATGCTCCACCACAGATAACAACGAGCTTCAATGCTCTCGCAATACTCGACGACTGATCCGCGTCTGGACAAGATACTGGGTCACTGGTGAACTCGACACCTACAGCACGCTTGTCTCTTTCATTGGGAAAAGACGTCAATGGTTTGTTGCGACTGCGATCTCAGGCACCCACTTACTCAAAGATGACACGCTTCACGCGCTTTCCGTCCCAGACTTGTAAATTTGGGTTGTGAGCTTGGTTGTAGACATAGTGGTGAGCCGCGTCCGAACGCCTTCCGGTCGTCCCGTCAATGTACCTTTATACATGAGCCAAAAATTAGCGAAGCCTACGAGTGCAGGAACTCACTTCCGCCATGGCTAAGACAAATCTAGTTAATAATCGCCGTTAGAAAAAAACACCATGGCTCACACTATATGTATTGCATGTTTCCAAATCATTGGTGTCGTCGGCATAGCGCCTCTTGTGATAGGTCGTGCCGACCTGAATGAACTCGTCGGAGACACCTAATTCACACCCACCAGAGGACACCTTGATAGGTCCATTATTTCCGTGAGTTGGATGATCGGGCTGCACTTCATATGTCTCTAGCTGTAGATTGAAAGTATAAGTAATTCGAACAAATAACTTGAAAACGCATTCGAGACCTTCTTCATGAGGGGAATCAAATTTTCAGATTCCCAGCCATTGACTCCCCAATCATCATAGTCTGAAGCAGGTGCACGAGTGTATACCATGACTGTCTCATCATCAGAGTCGCATTCATCGTTACAAATATGCTACGCACAATTCACACACGACCCTCCACCAACGCAACGACCAGAGGGAACGATTGGTGCACGGCCGTTGAGACGAGGAGATGGATTTCCGATGTTGAACGTGACCGTGGTGCTCGTCGGTAATTGGTTAAAGGGATATTGGTAGGGTTGTACATGAATAGGTTTGTTGAGGGTGTGTTGACCCGCTTCCAGGATCAAGATCCTTAGCGAGGGATCACATGCAGCTAAGCGACCTGCAACAACACAGGCTGTAGCACCACCTATACACAATGTGTGAAGAGGCAAAACCACCACAGGAGAATATTTTCTCACCTCCAGCAAAAACGATATCGAATTCTGACAGGATTGAATGAGACATTGATATGCGGGGTTACTTTCAGGCCGCCATCCACTGCTTCATCTTATGACCTTCACCCAAATGAAACACCAACATTATGCCCACGGGGAGTTGCAATACGCTACGAATCACGCGATCAAGAACGCGATAAATTGCTATAGCGACTTCTTTCATTAGACCAAGTGGAGTCATTGGAACCTAAAACGGGGGTGCATGTGATGCTGCGTGGTTAAATGCGAAGCGTACAGGACGCGCCGGCGCGGGTATCTCAATGCATTGTTGAACTCGCAAACAGCGCAGATCTACAAGGCAACGTCCGGCGCCTGACGTATTTGCTACCGCACAGTAACCGCATTATCTAATCACGAACAAGCCGTTAGTACGTCATGCCCTCATTCGCGCCATGATTCTGTTTACAAATAAACCCAGGGACAGTGAAGTATGAGAGATGATTGTTGAAGTGCTCGAACATGGCCTCGCACCTAGGAAGCGATTCTTACAAGATTACTGTCAAAGCTTAACGTACAAAGGACGGAAGGAATGCCTGTCCATTTGAAAAAAAAGTCGATCGCTTGCGGAAAAACTGAGTCGGGAACCTCATCATCCGAGATGCCGTCGAGTGGAACGAAACAAACGGAAAGAGCGTGTTCAATGCACCTCCCAGAGTGGATCGAAGAAACAGAAGAGCGGGGGCATGTTCGGATATTGCAGGGTCGTTTGGCTTCAGTTGCACACAACACTGGTTGAAATATTGAGATGGGGAAATGTATGAGTACCTGGAACGAAAACAGGAATAATGAGAGGCGACTTTACATCCTTTGGGCACAGATTTACCAGATTGTCCTAGTGTGACGATGGGCCCGTCCTCCTTAAAAAATCTCCGATGATCAATTGATCAATGGGGCTGACGACTGGATGACAGGAAGAGGACTGACAGTTGCGGAAAACTGTTCGCATCTTGTCTGCATCCAACTCGAATTTCTATCGGGTGACTAGGAGACTCTATTGTCGCAATACTGGAAGAAATGTAAAGTGAAGTCGTTGGAGTAAATGTGTTGGATGTCGAAGAAAGATCAAGCACCAACAATGCTTTGATTAAGTTGATCTGTCGAGTGGAACGTGAGAAAAACACGCAGTGCATGTACATGTGATGCTACGCGATTGAATGCATAGCGTACGCCGTATAGAACGGCGAGGGTACCTCGATATATCGTTGAGCTCGCAAACAAGTGCACAGACCCACAAGGCAACGTTCTGTACCCGCACATCTCCAAGCAAGTTTTGCGTGGCAACAATTGATCAGGTCCTCAGGCCTCAGGGGCCTGAGGTATATGTCGTGCGGACTTTGATCAATTTCTTGCGGGTAATACTAGTATCATTGAGAGTGTATAGCATTTCCACTGAACAATGGATTTTTTACCTTGCTCATGTGGGTTCAAGTCAACATTCTTGTACGGTCCGGACAGATCATGACATGGCAATTGATCCCAAGAGAGAACAAAAAAAGTTATTCTTTAACTCGACAGGAAAAAAGAGGTCAACAACGAGCGGGCGAACACAACATGGTGGTTGTGCAGTTGCCTCCAGGTAGAAGCACGTGCCTTGTCACATGACACCCCATGCCAATAAAGGGTTTACGGTTGAAATTAAACATCATCGAATCACAAATCCAAGGTAAGATCATGCATTTGAGTTGGAACCGTCTGTAATCTAATGATTCTTCAATTTTAGTGATGGTAAAATACTATGGATATGTGGTGAGCGATAGTTGGTTGCACCAGCGAGCCCTTGATATAGGCTATCCACCCGCCAAGACATCCGAAGAGTCGCGTGATATCATTAGGCTGGCTTCGAGGGATGTTATGGGAGCGACGGGTGTTCTCTTGTACACCAGGTTTCGTCGGGTGAAAACTCCTAAGGGCAGAAGCTTTTGGTGCATTGCCCTCGCTTGCGACGATCCTTGTACTGCAGGGGAACACTTACCAGTCTCCGCGCCGCCGGAAGCAACATATAAGGCTTTGAAGGAGGCGCTAGGGAGGGATGGCCCGCCTCACTGGTATCGAGCTATTTGAAACGAAACATCAGTGAGCTTTTCACGTCGCCAATGGAAGTAACTGATGTTTTTTTTCTTTAGGGAAAACCGTGCAAGTCTCATCGCATTTTTTTTTTTTTTATTCCAATTTCTGTCCTATTGAGAGTTATACTCTATGGAGGACAATACTATCTAGTCTAGGGGACCCCCAGTGTCCCCGACACATCTCTAGGTTCGCGAATGCCCCTATGTGAAGCGTACTCCCATCGGTCCGCCGTTCCCGCCGGCCGTTTTAGACGCGCGACCTGTCGAAGATGAGGTGACTGTTTATCTAATGGTACGAGGTATGTGTCTGTCAAGCGAATAAACAAGAACGCGTACTCGGCCGCTTGCGCGGGCTGGTACAGGAGTCATTTGTGGGTGCAGGAGGTTTGGTAGTTGAAGTACATGATTGACGGGTGAGGTTCTTCAACTGCCTTCTGACTTAGGCCATTTTTGAATGAGGGTGACTCCGTGTAGGCGAGTGGATTAGGTTGGATTAGTGTGGTGGTATTAAATTGGATTTTAAGGTTTTTGGGAGTTGAGTCTTGCGTGGTTACGAAGGTGCTATGTGCAATTTCTACAGATGGGGTGTCAGCGGGCAGGTGGGCGGGGAAGCGGGATTTCACCAAGGATGGCTCTCATGCGGCCGGTAGCGTTAACGTATCTGATCAAGTGGGGGGTAGCTGCAGGGTCGGTTAGGATGTAGGAGAGGGATGCAGCGTGACGGCCCAACGCGTTGGACAGTGAGTGGCGTGCTCGTTGATACTTGGGACAGGCGAGTAGATAGTGATGTACATTTTCTTCTACGTTTGGGCAGTTACTGCAGAAGGGGGTGGTCGATTTGCGAATGCGATGTAAGTGCACGTTGAGTGGGGCATGGCCAGTGCGGAGGAACATGTACAGTCCAGTAAGTTTTTTGGGGAATGCTGCGGTTAACTTAGTGAAGGAGCGTTTGAGGACTAGAGGGTCGATGTGATTGAGTTTGTGGAAGCGGGGGGAGTGGCGCCAACGTTCTTCGATGGACTTGTGCTGGGTTTCCCGGAGCGCTGATATGCTCAGTGGTAAAGCGCGTCTGAGGTAGCGTGGTAATTTGGCGTTGGGGCTGTTGTTTCTGACGCTTTCTGCTGCAAGCTTCGCGTGCTTGTCCACTTCTTCATTGCCATGGACGCCCGAGTGTCCCGGCACCCAGCGTAACGTCACTTTAAAGTCCTCGTGTCTCTTCGCGACATTCTTCAAGATTCTGCGGAAGTGGTCTGCTAGATAGGTACCAGGGCGCGCATAGAAACTCTCACCGGCATAGATACAAGCTTGGTTGTCCACGGAGATGGAGAGGGGGAAGGTGAGGTCCCGTTCTGTGGCTATTAGATGTGCTGCTAATGTTAGTCCAATTTCCTCCACCTCGAACACTGTGTGTTCCTCCTTTGTACCTAGATGATACCGCAGCGTCCTGGGTGTCTTACCTGCTCTGAAGAGTGTCGCCGCTGCACCCACTTGCTCTTTGTATCCCGAACCATCGCTATATACCTGGATTTGGTCGGTGAAAAGCTCGTGCTCCGTTATAGCCTCCTCCTTGCTGTCAGCGACACTGACGGTCCAAGGGTTTGTGGTGGATGGTGGGCGTCTTGCTGGAGTGAGGGTCTCGATCATGTCCGGTGTGATGTTGAATTGATGGGTGAGACGGTGTAGGGATGTACGGTGAGCACCGACGTAGCGTTTGGCGGCTCTGCAGATTGGGGTGTGTAACGGATGGGTGCTGGGTAGGGCGGCCATTCGGAGAGCTGCTCGGTGGCAAACGTTTTGGAGGTGGAGTGCGATAGGAAGGAGGTTAGCGTGAATTTCCATGACATCTGTTGCCGTCGTTCTCATAGCTCCTGTGATGGCTGATGCGGCTAGACGTTGGACGGCGGAGAGACGTTTCGCGATCCCGATAGAGCCCCTTTGCAGGGTGTCTGAGCCTTTGCAGTACACGGGGGAGAACCAGAGGTCCGCAGCATAGGTTATTTTCGGCAGGGCTACTGCTAGGTAGAGCTGTCTCATCAGACGTAGAGGTAATCCTTTGGCAGAGGAGGAAAGACGACGTAGCTGTAGTACATATGTGGTTCCTTTCGCGATAGCGTTGTCGACTTGGGCCTTCCAGCGTAATTCCTGGTCTAGGATGACCCCTAGAAAGCGGTGAGTAGGGGAGGGACGGATGATGGAGCCCTGTAGGTGCATGTCCGGGCGGTGTTTTCGTCTGTTCATAGAAAAGTCCATTAGTGCAAATTTGTTAGTTTCGAAACAGGAATTATGAGCTCTTGACCAGTCGTATCCTCCTCCTGTGCGTTCGAGCATATCTGTGAGGATAGCGTGAGTCTCGGTGAAGTCTTCGGCGACGGCGATGAGGGCCGTGTCGTCCACGAATGCAAGGGTCATCTCTTTTACCGCTTCGCGTCCCATGCGGGGCTTTGCGACGTCGACGAGGCCAGAGCTATAGATAATGTACAGTATCATAGAGAGGGGATCACCCTGCCCAATACCATTAGTTACTGGGAACCATTCGGACGTGAATCCGTCAAATTTGAGTTGCGTTTGGCGATGTGTGAGCAGCCGTTCTGTAAATTGTACTAGTTCAGTAGGGATGCGCCTCATGCGCATGTTATGAAGCAGTCGCTTCGTAACTGCGTTGGGGAAGGCGCCTTCGATATCTAGAAAAAGTACTGAGGCCACTTTGTGCGTGCGCCAGGCGTTTTTGATGGTTTCCTCGAGTAGATGAAGCGAGTCCGTGGTGCATCTGCCCGGTCTGCCTCCGAAATGCGTGTTTGGTAGGAGTTGATGTCGTTCCAGGGTATGAGTGAGCTGGTCGGCCACTACTGCAGATAGTAGCTTGCCCGTGGTGTTGAGTAGTGCGATCGGGCGATAGGCTTTGGGGATGGTGTAATTCGGCTTGCTGTTAAGAACGTGCTCAAAGGTCGGATCCGAAGGGCTTGGCTTCAGCTCGTGCGCTGCGCCCCTTACCCGAGTACGTGCCCCTAACTTCCGAGGGTTGTTGAACGATGTCCGAAGGTTACCGGACGATGTCCGGAGGGCGTCGGGCGATGTCCGGAGTCCGATGTCCGATGCGCGGGAATTCCGGCGGACGTTCGGAAACAAGAGATAAGACTAATCCGGACGAAGTCCGAACTAGAAAGGAAACAGCGGAGGACTACCAGAGGTAGAGGCGGAGGTGTCAAGTCTATAGGAGTCGATCCTAAGACGAGCGGAGGTCGACGAGAGAGAAACTCAAGTCGGACGGAGGAGAGAATGAGCAGAGTCTAATATGATATTCGAACTGAGGAAACTACAGAGATTGTACAGGGGTTTATATACTACTGAGGACATAACAGAGAATAGTAAGTGCAGTGCGAAGCTATGTAAAGCTATGAAGAAAACATATGGTACGACTATCACTAGTCTATCGGAACTTAGTAAAATGAAGACGGAGATGAATGAGGAACGGAAAATAAAGCGTACTAACTGATAAGGGAAATACCAAAGGGATAAGGCGCGGAAGTTAGACGCGGGTCGGATCCGGACGATACATAGAAGTCGGCCGGATCCGGAAATCCGGAAATGATGAGTGTGATAGGTCCGGGTCCGGAACGCGGGATATGACAGTATCCCCCCTTTAGGGCCGAGCCCACGAGGCTTCTGATTCGGAAGTCCGGACCGGATTTTTTTGAATGCGAGATGATGGGCGGAGCTCGTAAAAATAGCACTGAGCATATAAGTAGGCCGGGGCGCCCATGAGACGTCTAAAACTTTCCCTTTAACTCCTATTACTGCTTTTAACATGTCTAACTCCACTTCCGGCAACAAGAAGACCGCCCGGCAGGTTCTCGAAGAGAGACAGGCGGAAATGGCGGCCGAAATTGCGCGGCTTGAGGCGGACGCTCGGAGAGAGGCGGAGGAAGAGGAACGCAAGCGCAAGGAGGCGGAAGAGGAACAGAAACGGATGGAGGAGCAGAAACGGAAGGATATCGAGGAGACTCGGAAGAGGTTGGCTGAGCGCGAGCAGGAGCATTTGGCAAAGGCTAGGATGGGTAATGCGTCGGAGGTGAGTCGGATGAGGTTTTTTGCGTTTTTTCCGGAGTTTAACAATTTTTAGTCCTCCGGTCCGGCAGATCCGGAGGTTGCGTGTGAGATGTGCGTCCTTAGGCGCAAGATTTGCACCTGGGCAGTAGCGTCTAGGACGCCTAGGGTGAGTTTTTCTGTTTTGTCCGGATCCGGATGACTACTGATGATTTCCGAAAGATCCGGACGTGTGACCAGTGCCGCGCGTCCAAGGAAAAGTGCGTCGGCGGAAATCCGCCTGTCAAGGCGCCGGCCGGCAAAGGCAAAGGCAAGAAACGCGCGCGTCCGGAGGGATCTCCGAGCCCCAAGGGCAAAGGAAAAAGACGTCAGCGCAGTCCGGAGGACATCGACGACGACATAGAAATAGTCTCCAATCCCCGGACGGTTATTGGAGAGGATCAAGACTGGGCGGAGTACGACGACCAGGCCTGGGTCGCAGCCGCCAACAACATAGTTGCGGAACTGGCCCGGACGAATGGGCTGATGGAGAGGGGTTTTGCAGCGGCGGAGGGAAGTAGAGCTGCGATGGACCGGGTGAGTGAGACTATGCTCCGGTTCATGGAGGAGCAGAGGGAGTTTCAGACTCTCTTCATGGAGAGTCTGAGGAGCGGTTTCCGGATGCATGTAGAAGATGCTCCGGAGGAGGAAAATGGGGAGGAGGCGGAAAAAGAGGCCGGCGGATCTGGCGGAGACATGGAGATGGACTCTTAGGTCGTCGGATCCGAAGTCCGGATGTCGGACACCTAAATAAAGTACATATATGCATGTTTTTCCTTACTCTTTGTTAGAAGTTGGTCCCGGCTTGTCCGGATATGCTGAATGGAAATCCGATAGAAGTTCCGGCGCATTTCCGAGTTCGGTTGCGAGTATCCAGGAAGTTTCTTCATCCGTCCCTTCATATCCGGCCCA